CAAATCCAAGATTTATTGTTGACGTTTCATAGTAATTTGTGTTGGGGTAGTGTGGCCAGTCACCCTCTTTATGTTCCCCAGTCCCATGGTGGGGCTGCCACCTTCGGGTTAGGAGCCCCTGATTTGGAGGAGGGTTTATTCCCTTTTTGCAGTAGACCCTCTAACTCTCCACCTGTGGGTGCTGCCGCTGACCTGGTAGGAATAAGATTCTTCCACCACCCCTGAAAGAGATGTCCTGCTACCAATATCCCTCATCCTGGCAAACTGGGATCTAGAATACCCCCAGCCCAACCTACCAGGACCCTTAACCCTCTCCTATCAGTTCACCTACTTAATCATCTGCAGGGATTTCTATCCCACCTCAGGCTAAGTCACTTGGTTTATCGAGTCCCCCCTCATTAAGGAAGGAGGTGATGAGGAAGAGAGGCTAAGTGGTCTATGGTGACCTAAAGTTATGCTTCACTCCTCTTTTGTAACCCAGTTTTGAATTAGTCTTTTAAATTTTAAAACATTTTATCTTATTTACATAAAATTAATAAAGTATTCTAACAGTTAATTAATTGATTAATTGATTTACTGTAATAATGGATCATTCCAGTTTTCCTTGAGATCCAGATATAAGAAAACAAATGGTTATAAATTAAATAAATTGACCTTATTTAGAAATGCTTAAATAAAATTATTGTTATAGATATTAAGGTTAATGGAATTGATTGTATATGTGTGTATAAATATTCATGTATTTTTTAAATAATTAATAAAAATAATGAGAGATCTTTTTTTACTGCTGAATTAATCAAAAGTATCCTATTGTTATAACCAAATTATATTCTTTTCCTATTCCCTCTTATTTGATTATATAAATTAAATATTTATTTATTGATGCTTATAAAATATTACATTATCAGAGGAATAAGTAAGAGTTTAGAATAATAAACATTACAGAAATAAGGAAGAACTGTCTCTCTTGCCTACGAGTGGTGGGAGAAGTCGGACCATTTTCTGCTATCTCCAGAGCTATACAGTTCTTTTTAAAATCTATGGAAGGAGTATGTAGTTAAAGTTAAATTTGCCTGCATATATGCTGATAAGAAGTTTACTTATATGATACAACAGGTGTGGTTTCTATGTTCTGGTTTTAGGTACTTTAATTGCATTAAACACTGTGATACAAAAGTTTGACAACTAGACCATGACCATATTAACTCTAATGTTCTGAAACACTATTACATATCGGATGAGCTGTATATACTGCCCAAAGAGATGCTTAGACACTTCTTGTATAGCTAAAAAAAAGAAAGACTATTTAATAGACTAGAGTAATATTTTAAAACTTCAAGTTGCTAACCTTATAAACTGGAGTTTCTGTTTTGTTCTTTTTGTTTTTTAACCCCACTTATATGGACTCAGTAATCATTAATCAATAACATCTACTTTTTCTAATATTTTTATAAATTCAATTTAAATTGTACATGGTGCCCCCTAAGTAGAAGTAAATATTTAAATGGGTGATGGCAAACTTCAAGAGCTACAAAAAGGTTTATATAAACAATGGCTCGATATTCAGCAGGAAATTTGGAAATTAAAGTTTTGTGTTTTTTAAGTAAGTACCGTTTTTTGTTTAATAGGAAGTGATAACTAAAAAACTATTTAATTTAAGTAATAAAATATTCCTTCACAGTAAACTAGACAAAATTTACTTTAAATGAAATTAGAGTTTATCATTGTTAAAACAATTTAAAGAGGACTTTTGAGCGGATAAACTATGCTAAGTTCTGTTTTTAAAAATATCATAAATTATTACCAATTTTTTTTATTGTCCTTTAACTATACTATGGATGACACACTTTTAGAAAAACTTCCTTGTTTAATAAGCTTTAAGATCAGATTAATTATGTTGCGGGCTAACCAAGAAATAACTTGAGATTCACCTCAATTTGTGTAAAAAAAATTAGGTGTTTTAATATCCTGTCACCTGTTTTCAGCAAAAATTACTAAAATAAATTATTGCCAAGCTTTAATTTTTTTTATGACCTGGGATGTATTATAATAAAGATAATTGCATAAATACACATTTTATTAACAAAAAAAAAAAAATGTTTTTTCAAACATTTATCATCTGAAATGATAAGGAAACTGTGATTTTTACCCAGATCACTATTATAGTTATTGAACCTTTTTTTTTTTGTTAATAAACTGTGTATTTATTCAGTTGTATCTATTGTAATACATCCTAGTTCATGAAAAAAAAAAAAAAAAAATCAAGGCTCCGCAATCATTTATTTTAGTCATTTTTGCTAAAAACACGGATACATTTCGGTGACAGATATCAAAACACCTCATTTTTTTATACAACTTGAGGTGAATCTATTAATAATAAAAGAAAAATGAATAATTAGTAAAAGAAAACAAATTTAAAATAATCATTTTTAGTTTATTTATTATCAAAAGTTATAAGACTCTATTTTTTACTAAGATCTTTAATATAGAAATTGGTCCGTATTTATACGTGACCCACTACATGTTTCCAATCCCAATATTTACTATTAAAATAAAGAAACATGCTGATTGCTTGCATTATTTTCATGAAAACGTAAATATTAGGATTAGGAACATTTAATTGGTCACTTATAAATGCGGATCAATTCCTATAATAGTGATATTGGGTAAAAACCACAGTTTCATTATTACTTTAAATGATAAATATTTCAAAAAACTTTTTTTTTTGTTAATAAAATGTTTATTTATGCAATTCTGTATTATAATACATCCCTGGTCGTGAAAAAAAAAGTAAAGCTTTGCAATTATTTATTGTAATCAGTTTTGCTGAAAACATGCGTACTTTTTGGTGACAGGATATCAAAACACCTCATTTTTGTTCCCAACTTGAGGTGAATCTCAACTAATTTCTTTAAAACAACTCAATATAATTAATATGACCTTAGTAAAGCTTATTAATAAAAGAAGTTTTCCTAAAAGCAGGGTATCAATAATATATTTGGAGGGTGATAAAAAAAAATCGTGATTAATTAATGATATTTTGAAAAACATAACTTATTACAGTTTATTCCATCAAATGTCCTCTTTAAATGGTTTTAACAATGACAAACTCTATTTTCATTTGAAGTAAAGTTTGTGTAGTTTGCTGTGAAGAAATTTTTATAAACTAAATTACTAAAATTTATTTATGGAGGGCCTTGGTGTCGACATAAAGGACGTGGCAAGGTTGGCAGAGAACATAATCCTTGACTCCCTGGGAATTATGCATCACCATGTGCATGGATAGAGAGTTTGTTCATGGGGGGAGGCATGCGTGTTTTACAGCATTTTTACATTATTTATTGACCATGTCCACTGCACTTAATGTTTTTGTATGCATGTTATGAATTAGGTTAAGAAAAGAGAGGAGAAAATCTAGGGAACGAGAAAAATGTATAGAGTGAGAGAAGGAACAGAAAGGGATGTATAGTGCTAATAAATGAATTAAAGAAATAGTAAAAATAAAATAAATAAAAAAAATAAATAAATAAAACTATAGGGAAAAAAAATTATGATAAAAAAAAATATATAGATAAAAAAAAAATTGTATATTATGCTCATACATGTTGTTAATACTATATAATTGTATATTAGTTTTGGAAAATTGTCTGTAGCGATTAATAAGTATGCTGTGTTTAAAGCAAACCAATGTAATTGGGCAGCACCCTTTTATGATAATAAAGTGATTCTCTCTCTCTAATTTTTTTATTCATTGATATTTACAACTGTATTATAAAAAAAAAAAATAAAACTTGTAAATGTGCATTCAGGAATATAATAACATGAAATCTCTTGTTGAGAAACAACCCACTGATAGCTCTCAAATAATAAATTTACACAAGAAGATCATAAGGCCGCCTTCTTTTCAGATGCCTTGGAAGGTTATCAGGGATCGAGGAGGAAGCAAGGTTTGAAACGAGAGGGTTCGGATGGTTCTGCAGTTTTTTAATTACTTAAATTAAGTGTTTTTTTTAGTTATCATTTCCTATTTAACAAAAACATGACTTGCTTATAAAAAACACAAAACTTTAGTTTCCAATTTTCCTGCTTAATATCAGGCCATTGTTTATTTAACCTTTTTTGTAGCTCTTAAGGACTACTATCACCCATTTTATTATTTCCCTTTACTTACGGAACACCCTGCATATGAATAAGATTTATGACACAAGTTATTGATCAGTATTGTACACAAATGTAAAATATGCCAAGAAAAGTTGTTCAATATATACCTCATTAAATAAAGAGGAAGGTATACTACTAAATGAAAACATTTTATTTAAAAAAATTTATTATAAATAAATATATAATTTATATAATATATAAATATTATATAATATATAATTTTTGGTATAAAAATACAATAAATCCTTAATATATAATCTTACTACAACATTTATTCTTGTAAACTCATTTCCTTAAATGATATAGCTTTAAAATAGTTTATCAATCTCTATTGTTTTATTTTCCGACATGAAATATACTAAATGAGTTTAATTTTTCATAATAATACATTTATAACAAACATCATATAGACTCTATTGTGTAACAGAAAATGTAATTTTATTAGTTATTACTTATTTTCCTACAATCATTATGGTAGATATTATTATTCAAAACTAAAAAACTGTACCTATCATAATTATTTTTTAATCTATAGGCTTAAAATAAAAAAATACAACCAATGAAGACATTTTTTCAAATTATCACATAATTTTTTAATATCACAGACAAACAAAAGGACAGCCTTTTATCTTATTAAATTAATGAGTTTAATACCTAATTCCATTCATCATGTACTAATTTATTCAAATACCAAAGCTTGTTTTTTTAAACAAATTCCTTATTTTTATGGATTTGGTATATTATATTAATAGTAAATCAGAGTAAATTAAATATAGCTAAAATCATAACATAGTTGTTCAGTTATAGATGATGAATCATAAAAGTATAAAACATTATAATTACACATACTCTTTTCCACCATCATTAGTTAGTTGCTTTTGGAGCTGAAAAATAAGAATGAAATATTTTAATAAGTAATGAAAAGTTGCAGTTAAACAACATGAATTAATCTAAAATTAAGTTCATAATCCTGTAAACATTTTTGTCTGTGAATTAAACCAAGACAGGATATGATGCTTGGGAGTATATTCAAACAATAGAAAAAATAAAAAAAATTTTATTGTGCTATAAGCACCAACCTTTTGGCATGGATGTTCTTCAGGGCTATAAAAAGGAGGTACAAAAGATATAAATAAATCAAGGTCATATTTCTGTAGGTATTGTTGAGTATAGATAAAATCTAAGAAATAATGGTTGGAGACATGAAAACAAATCTGGTGCAGTGCGCGCATCACACAACTTTCACTTACTAACCTTAGAATAGAAAGGAATTTTCTTATAGGAAATCAAAGTGAAAACGATGTATAACTTCATTTAAAACAATTAATTACTATGTTTTCCACGCCCATCAAATTATTTAAATTTATACATTTGCAACACTTTCCTTTTCGTTTTATGACTGTGTATAGTATCAAACAATAATAATGATTGTGAGGAAAGTGGATCTTTTTGAAAAATTCTGGGTTTTATCAGAAACATTTATCACTGAACCCTTTTAAAAAATAACTTAGTAAATATAAATAATAATAATAAAGTAAATATAAAAAAATAACATTAGTAAATATTGCCTATTATTTGGTTTATATTAGTAAATCCTCTACATTTTGCATGCAAACCTTTTAAAAAAATTATGGATAAGTTAAACTAACAATATGAAAGTCCTGTACAGAAGGGTATTGGGTATCTGTAAGGATAGAGGATCGGCAAGTGTCAGGCATCCTCCGCTAAACAGGGGAGCTACCTACATAGTTTATACTATATAGCTTCCTACCCTTATTTCCCCTTTAGTCACCAATCAATTTTCTTCATACACTATAATTAACCATTTTTTATATCAGGTTCAAATGTTAAATGGTTAATTATTTCAAATTAAAAATTAAAGACACTTTAGAGGAAGAAATTTTGAAAAATCGGCATTGAAGCTCTGTCAGATTGTATGGATGAGAATGAAATCTACATTGAATTGAAAACCACTTAATAGTACACTGACCTAGTGAGTTTAATCAAAATTGTTAGAGCCAATTTGGAAAAAATCATAACGACGTGTTAAATCAATGATTTAATGTATCACTTCCGGTTTGCCAATTTTGACAAAAAAAGTTGCTGTAACATCTCAGGCATATACAAACCTTAAATACACGATTTCAGTTTGTACAAGTTTTGTTTTTGAGTTAGGCTGTTCACATACACGCACACATACCATTTTGTGGGACTTAGTTATTTGAACTCAGGAGACCTCAAAACGTGTATTTCTGTTGAATACTCAGATTCGAAATTTTTCACATTTGCGCTATTTATCCTTACTAAGTAAATAAAAGTAATAAAGATTCATAAAAGTGATTAATTTCTCACATAATTAAGATAATTGCAGAGATCATGCTGAGAGTAGCTTATGTACCAAAGCCTCTCCGGCAAGGGCGTACAATCCTGGTCTACAAGGGAAAGCGTAATGCTGACAACATATCTTCATGGTGACCGATAACCGTATTCTGATTGCGTTCCCAATCATTGAAAAGGTTCTGGACCATGAATTGAGAAAGTAGATTACCTTCAGCAAAAACCGAAGAGACTTCATCAATGTGTGAGTACAACCATAAAAGATGCCAAACATAAAAATAATGTTTATACCCCTCACAAAGATACATCCAGTGATATTAGAAGAGATTGATACAAATATCCGCAGGAGTATCAAGGCCATCACCGGGCTCTCCACTGATACATCATCGGTGTTGTTGTACCCATAGAGAAGGTATTGAGGACTGGTTTGCTGTCATTGGGAAGCTCCTTTGCAGCATTGATCTATTGCCCTGCGACTTTCTAATGTACTGGATGCCCTGTTCCAGCCCACATTTGATTATAATGCAGAAATGGCTGAATGTGTGGAAATACTGGGCAGCTGCAAGTGGTAAGGCGTTAAGCATTTTAAAGAGACCCTGAAAGCCAATAAATACAGATGCCAGAAACAATTACTTTCAGGATCAGAATGTTCCAACACCTTAAAATTCAATATCAACTACACAGCTTTGTGCGGAGTCCTAGGAGCCAGTGGAAAGTAGAATATATAGGATAAAGATATGTCTTTTGTAAAAAAACAAATTCTGCGAGACCTAAGGAGAGAGAGAGAGTTCACCATGATGATGCCTCTGGTTTGTGTCTTGAGGAATGATTATAAAAAAAACAAGGAGCTTCCTCGAGGAACTAGATGTTGATGTTGGGGAGCTGGCGATATTGACCAAGAACATTATTCTGGACTCCCTGGGGATCATCCATTATCACTTATATTGTGATTAACAGTTAATTGTGGATATTTATCATTATTTATTAATCTATTATTATTAATGTAATTATTAATCTAGTCGTGTCTTTATATTTGTATGTATAACATTATGTTGGTTGATATGTGTGTGCTACAATTTTGTAATTTTACTATTTGAATTTTTTTTTTTTTGATAGATTTCAGAGTTTATATTATATCAATCCTACCTATATATATATATTGTGTAATAGCAAGAATTTATATATATATATATATATATATATATATATATATATTGTGTAATAGTAAGAATTTAGTGTAGTATAATATTGATATATAATTAATGATATGAAAAGGGAGGGAAAAAATATATGGATTGATCAGTATACTGTGCATCTAGCAACCATATGTAGTTGGGCAGCACTACTTTTAATAAAGTATTTCTCTCTATAAGCTGTAATACATGGGAGAGAAGGGTTCTTCGCAGAACCTATGGCCCGGTGTGCGAACAGGGACAATGGAGAATTCGCACTAATATAGAACTGTATGAAATGTATGCGAGGCCGGATTTGGTCTCAATTGTGAGGGGAAACCAGATCAGATGGTTGGGCCATGGCGTGTATGGCTCGAGACTCGATTCCCAAATGCTTGCTAGAGGATTGGCCTGGTGGAAAACGTGGAAGGGGAAGACCATGCCTGAGATAGCTGGACCAGGTAGAGGACAGCCTGAAAAGGATGGGAATTCGAAGATGGAGAATGCTCGCTCGGGATAGAGGAGAGTGGCGAAGGATCATAATAGAGGCCCAGATTCTTACAGGACCGTAGCGCCATAAATAAAAATACGTTGTAATATAGTATTGGAGGTAGAAATAGCAATGGAAAGGCTCAAAAAAGATAGGCCCCAGGGATAGACAACCTACCATCTAAACTGTTTAAAGATGGAGGAGACAAATTAAGAGCCAAGCAACTACAACTTATCCAGAAAATATGGGGAGAGGAAAGGATACCTGAGGATTTGAATACAGGCCTAATCCATCCAATCCTAAAGAAGGGCTCCATGTATGAGTGTATTAATTATAGAGGCATAGTACTTCTTCTGGTCGCCTACAAGATTATCACCAATATCCTACTAAACCAGATATATCCGTATTACAAGAATATAATAGGTGACCACCAAGCTGGGTTCAGAAAAGGGAGGAGCACGCTAGACCAGATCTTCATCCTAAAACAAGTTCTCAAAAAGCGATGGGAAGTAGCTCAGAACATCCATGCCCTATTTGTCAATTTAAAAGCAGCCTGTGATTCTGTGGACAGGAGCTGTCTATGGAAACTCCTGACTGAGCTGGGAATTCCCAGTAAATTCGTAAGATTGACAAAAGCATGTACATATGACCCCAAATGTAGAGTCCTAATATAAGGAGAAAGATCTGAAGCCATCAAAGTTCGAACGGGCTTACAGCAGGGAGATGGACTATCACCAATGCTGTTCAACTTAGCCCTGAAGAAGGTGATAAGAGCAACATCACAGGAAAATGGAGGGATCCACGTCAGAATGAATCATAAAATCCTTGGATATGCAGATGATATAGCTGGCCTTGGAAGTAATCAGAGAAATTCGTGACAACACTGATAAGAGAGGTAGAGCAGATGGGCCTACAAGTAAATGAAGACAAAACAAAATATATGGTAATAAGCTGAAAATTTAACCCCAATAACAGGATCTGTGTAGAAGGAAAATCATTCCCAAGAGTATCAAAATTCAAATATCTCAGCTCCACACTGACCTCAATGAATAACCAACGGGCAGAAATAGACCTAAGCATATAACTATCTAAAACAGAGCTTTCTTCTCCCTCTCAAAGGTATTAAAATCCCGAAAAATCTTAAACTAAGGGTGTACAATGCTATGATAAAGCCAGTTCAAATATATGGTTGTGATACTTGGACACTAACCAACAATCTAGAAAAATTTGCGAGGAAAATCCTCCACACAATAAACTGAGCGATCTGGGATCAAAGTACTAACACATGGACAAGAAAGAACATTAGAGAACTGCTTACAGAAACTGGTCAATCAATATCCCATGATATGAAGGCACAGAGATTAAGATGTGCGGGGCATGTAACTTGTAGCAATCCATTTGGAAGCCTCTACATAATAATGAATGCCTCAATAGAAGGCAAAAGACCACATGGAAGACCAAAAAGCAGATGGATAGATAGAATCAACAGAGCTGCATGCAGTTAAATGGAAAGAAATAGTCCAAGACAAGCAGAGATGGAGGAGGCTTGTTAAGGCGGCAAAAGATCTACATGGTCTGTAATGCCAATAGAAAAAAAAAAGCTGGAATATTAACAAAGTTTTTAATATAACATTGCATATAAGTGTTTGATAAAACTTTTAAAAAAATCAATACATACACCATCACTTAAGGTTGCACATCCAGATTGTGGCTGAGACTTATTTAGGAAAAAGTTGTCTTCAGTTGTTTTCCGGTAAACAGGATTATCAAAATTTACACTGGTGTTCTTGTTTAAAAAGTTTCGATATACATAAAATGCAATCTGCAAAATGAAAGAAATGTAAAGTATTTTTATTTATTTATCCTATTTCATAATAATCATATTGCTATACATGGGCATATTATGAAATAAATATTCATTAAATTTTAATATTTATGTCTTACTGGATGCTGTATCTATTTGATGGTAGTGAAAAAACTATTATCACACTTGGGTGTTATGAAGTTTAAATATTTTTGTAAAATAAATTTAATATTTAAATAGCATAATGTACAAATACAAAGTAAAAATATATTAGCCACATTGTCATTGAAATAGTTGGCTTTTAAATTCTTTTTATTGTATATTTGAAGTTGTATTTATAAATTGATTTATTTTTACATTTAAACTACTTTGATTCCATCAACTGATTATTTCTACAAAATAATGCTCCTATAATATTGCATTGGTGTCTTAATATTTTGTCTTCAAAAAATTAGAAACTAGTTTAACCTCCTTTAGCACTGAGCTGTTTTCAGATCTTAGAATATACAATAGTAACAGTGACAAACCACTGTTTTTTATACCAACAGTGACACAGAATTTAATACCAAAATATTAAAAACTCAAACAAGCACTTGATGGATTACATTTTCACTAAGCTTATTTTATTTTCTACACAGCATGCCACCATGCATGAATATTTTAATTTTTTTAAAAAGAAAATCTTATTTTTTATTAAAGCTAACAAAATTCAATTATTTAATCTATCAGAGGACAAAGTGGCAAATGTCATGGGGCCAGGCCCAAGGGAGGCTTGAAATTGGAAACAGGTTCTTTTTTATTTTACTTTTTTTTTACATACCTAGTTGATAGGTTAAGAGTTCCTGTAAAAGTCTTACTAACTTTGATGTTTCTGAACATCAATTGGATTTCCTGCTTTGGTATATTTGATTTCTACAGAATATGGGTTATACTATTATTACCAAATTTTGAGAAAGAGAAAGAGAAAGAAAAGTAAATTTTAAATTAAAGCACATTGTAACAATAAAATACATAATCAAATTATATTATATGTAGTATACATTACGTACAATACAGCCATATCTTGAAATTTTGAGTTAGAAGCTTAGGAAACCTTAAAACTTGGCTAATACAGGCCTTCAGACTTATGTTATTGAGTACTACATACCTATTTGTTTTACTTAAATTTTCTGGGCATATAATGTTTCTTAGAAAATGAAATCATTCATGGACCTTAAAAATTTATTGTTCCTCTATTCTTTTTTTACTTCTCTTTTTTTGTGCACCTCATGTTCTCCCACTGCTTAAAAATTGGTACTCTGAGCAAATGTCCAGTTTATCCCTTTGCTAATATGGGGCTGTATTGTTAACAAAAATAGTGCTTCAGCACCAATGCTGATATCAATAACAGTTTGGAAATGTAGATATTGAGGAATACAAATCATCTCATTGTATTTTTAAAACCATCAATTATTAGCTTCAAAAAGCAATAAATTAATTAAACATTTTTTTCAAGTAAACTATTAATATTATTTCATTCTAGTATTTAGGTTCCACTTGTAAAACTGGGTCTATTAGTACAGTTTAGCCCTCCGTAATACTTGCAAACTCATATTTAGAATCACTTAAGAAGAAAAACAATTACTGAATACTTACTAATGAAGAAGATACAATAAATAGAGCAATGCTCAAGATCACAATAGCTAAGACAGGGCCACTACTATATTCTGCAGGCAATGGTCGTGCTGAAAAATAAAAAAAATATTTATTTTTTTTATAATTTTTTTTAATAAAATATAAAAAAATATATAAAATGAGTCACTTTAAAAACTCCAAAGTTGAATTTTGTAATCTTCCAGAAACCAATTTACTAACAAGAAGACTCTTCTCACTGTCATGAATAGTGAGATCCCAAAAAATCTTAAAGCAGCAATCAAACTGGGCTCAATACAATGAATGGCCAACTACCATAAGTAGTTATATAATTGGAAACAGTTCAATAACATGGGATATCAAAAATTAATTGGCTAAACAATAATCTATAATTATACCAAGATAATTGGCAGAACATCTACAATTGTGCAAAACAATGCTAAGTTCTATGTCGGACTGTAGTACTACATATATACAAGATGGCAAATATCAGGGTCAATCACTTTCAAATTTTTGTAATTTTTTACAAGTTATTTCCTATTTAATAGTGAGTTCAAAGCTATGGTTAAGAACTTTTTAAGACTCACACTTTTTCTGAGCGCCTATTTCGAATTTCTTTTTTGACTAAAAATATCTCTAACTCTGACACTGTTTATACCTCTTTATGATAGGAACATATGGCATGAATTTGATGAATGAAACTCAATTCGTTGGATTAATTATTATGCAACAAACATTTTTTATAAAATGTGTGAATTTCACTCAATCACTTTTATGATATTTAAATTCAAAAGTCACCAAAAATCAAATGCAATTACTCAAGGCAGCCGAGGAAGTATGTGGTTTACAGGAAATAATACCTACTCCTACGAAAACTAGTTGGTGGAGCGAGGAAGTGAAATGATCTGTCATATCTGCAAAGAAAGAGGCCTGGAAACAGTAATGTAGAAGCAAATCACCAGGAGATTGGGCATTGTATATAGAGAAAAGAAATGAGTCTAAGAGAATAGTTAAGGAAGAGAAGAGAAAATCTTGGGAGGAATTCAGGCTAGAATTGGATAAAACAATAAAGAAAATATAAGGAAATTCTGGCACATCACAAGAGCACTCAGGAACAAAAAAGCAAAGCCTGTGAGAAGTTTAAAGGATGAGCATGGCATACTAATGACAGAAGACAAGGACATACTGGAAATTTGGATGAAATACTTTCAAGAAAAATTCAGAATGGAAGAAAGGCCGCGAAATTTTCGAGATTGCCTTAGAAGAGGTAGAATAACTGAACCAGAAGTCCCTGACATGGATGGCACCATAGAAGAGGAGGAAGTCAGCAGCCATTGTTAAAGTAAAGATGGAAAAAGCAGCTGGGCCAGTTGGGATTGCACCCGAATTTATAAAATATGGGGGAAATAAGCTTGTCAAGTGTCTCCAAACACTATTCCAAAAGGTTTGGGATCCTAAAAGGATACCCATAGAATGGAAAAACTACATCATTATCCCAATCCATAAGAAGGGAAGTCAAAGTTTATGCGATAATTACTGCCCCATATGTCTGTTATCAGCAGTATACAAAGTATACACTGGGATTCTGGAACAAAGGTTAAGGAAATTAGTGAAAGAAGATCTGGAAGAGGATCAGGCATGTTTTAGGCCCAATAGGCAGACACAGGATCATATCTTCTCCCTGAGAATGATTGTACAGAAGGCATGGGATAGAGGTAAAGCAGTATACCTAGCTTTTCAAGATTTACAGGCGGCTTTCGACCATGTTTCTAGACAGGAAATATGGGATGCATTGGCAGATAGGAGAATCCCACAAAATCTTATAAGTGCAATCACTTCAGTTTACCAAGACCCAAACAGATTAATAAGGCTAGACGGCCCTGAGTCCAGGTCATTCCATTTCTTTAGGGGAGATAAACAGGGTGATAGCCTGAGCCCCCTACTGTTCATAATTTTCATGGATGCCATTTGGAAATTTTGTAAAAGGGGACACCCAGAGCAATAGTGAGATACTGGAATATGACCCCAGTGTTGGCACAGGCGTTGTTGTACGCATATGATATTGTATTGGTTGCGGATACTGCTGAATCGCTCCAGGTTGCTGTAGATGATTGGCAAGAAGAACTGCAACTCAGAAGCATGCATATCAATCCCTCTAAAAGCAAGGTTATGTGTGCTGGACAAAGAAATGAGGATCTTAGAATCACTTGCAATGGCTTGAGCAAACTGATACCTACTGCTACGTAGGAACAATGATTGGCAAAGATGGAAGAGTAGACAGGAGGTCATGAATAGAGTCCAAAAGTTCAATGGAATATACTACTAAATATCCATGACACTCATTGGAAGAAAGCGAACATTCTGCTGTTCAAATCAGTTTTTACCCCAGTGCTGCTATACCGATAGGAAAGCGGACACTTTTGAACCTCCATGCCAGCAAGGTTGTATCTGTGGAAATGAGATTCCTACAGAAAATATAGGATAAACCAGGCAATATTGAACAAGGAATGAAAGGGTGCGAAATGAAATAAGAGTTAGATTTGTCCTAGAGACGATTGAAGAAAGGCAGTTAGAGTGGTACAGACATGTTAACAGAATGGGAGATGACCATAAGGCCAGGTGGCTTCTAGAAGCAAGACCAGGAGAAAGGCAACCTCAAGGCAGGCCAAGGCTCATGTATGCAGACTTGATTGAGAGAATCGGCACAGCGAGAGGAAGCACCATGCCGGAGATGAGAAGCTTTGCACAGGACAGAGACCATTGGACAAGATGGTCAGAGGGAGTTACTCCATGCTTAGCAGCACAAAGGAGATAGTGAGAGAAGAAGAATGTCGCCAAAAATGAATTTTGGTTGTTTTGAACATTTTTATGTAAAGAAGGACAATTTTCAAGAATGAAATTTCTTCAGCAAGTAGTATAGTGATGGGAGTATACAAGAAAAATAAATAAATGTGAGACTCTTTTTATCATTACTCTTTAACAGGGCTAAATATTTCATTTTGTTTCATTTTTATTTTATAGTTGTGAATGTTTTTAACCACTTTCCTCACTACTATGGGGTTTCTTATGAGGACAAAAATGTAGAGCAAAACATTATCATAATTTTAGTTTTTATATTAGCAAAAAGTAGGAAGAATATGCTAAGGCTAACTCTCACCAGACAGCAATATTTGTCATGTTACAACTAATATAATATTATATAATATAGTATCAGTTTCATAATTTGTCATTCAGTCCAATAACATCACAAAATTGTGGTATTCAAATTAAAAAATTGCTGAAAATCAAGTGTTTTTTTTTTAATTTTCATTAAAAAAAATACAAGGTTTTTATGAATGAAATTTCTCTAGCCTGTTGTATACTGATAAAGCTATACAAGAAAAACAAAATCAAAGCCTATTTATTCTCTTTTTATTATTACATTTTCAAAGAGCTAAAAGTCATGTTAATTTTCATAATTTTTTCATGCTACTTTCCTTCCTTCTTAGGTGATGTATTGAAAGACAAAAATGAAGGAAACAAGCCTAAAATAATGGCAGCAGTAAAGCAAGGAGAAAGAATATTAAAATATTACTATTTTAATGATAACCAGCAATCAAATGATGTATCCTTCTGTATTAATATTGTATCTACATCAAATATCATCATTCAGGTATCATTTAAATATTTTAGATTTTTTTTTTTTTTTTAAATAACACATATTTCTGTGCATATATTTAAAAACATAAAAGCAAATATACTGTTTGGAAGTGTAAATGTCATACATTAAAATTCTAAACCATCATATAAATAAAACTTTAATATTAACCTTTATTAAAAAAATAAAGAAGAAGATAATATAAAATAAAAATGTTATTATTCATAGAATGTTTATGAAGAATAATTTATTCATTAATGGGTACAAACCTAAATGATATAATTAAAAACTAATTTTGGAGAATTCAACTTAATACGTTTTTAAATGCAAATTATTTGTTAATAATAGTATATATAAAAAGTTAAAAATAAATAAATTTATTGAAATTTACTGCTGCATTAGATAAAAAATATAACTAGTAAATCTGAATTATAAAAAATCAAAGTTTTAAAACAATAAAAAAAATCAATATCTTTAGCATAAGAAAACAGTTGACATTTAGAAAAATAATTTTATTTTGGGATGAAAGCCCTTAAGAATAACAAAGTTGAGCATAAATAAAAAGATAATATATATTTTCCTTAGTGTAATTCTATACTTACTAATTTTTGGAGGAGGTATGGGTATATGAAGAATTTTTTCTCCACTAGTTGAATTTCCTTTAAAAAAAATAAGAAGTTAATTAACTGTCTACTTTAGTTTAACTTTAACAAATTTATAATTTTTTTTTCTTGGATGAGTGTAAAAAAGGTCATCTTAGAAATATTCATAAATAAAAGTTATTGTTTTAATCTGATTCGAGATTATCTGCTAGACCAAGAATAAAACTAAATTTATTGATAAAATCATAAGTAAAAATTCAGTTTTTTGTTGTTTTAGGTTGTCTGAATAACATTGTGGAAATAAAAATTGACATGTTCAAATGGAGTTTAAGGAATAGAGCAGAGATTCAGATTAAAGTTCATAAAGAAGGGATCAATGGTATCATAGTTTAGCCAAAGTTTAGTGGTCCATTTAAATTAGATAATGATTGCAGACTTTGAAGCTAACAACAGGGAGTTTTTTTAGGCTTTCTAAATTGGATTTAGAGTCAGAAATTTGAGGTAGAATATTATATAAGTAATGTACCTTGGTATTACACAAGGATGTTTGAATAAGGTTATGGTGGAATTAAAAAAAAAATAATAGAGATCAAGGTTAAGAATGCAAATGAAACATTATGGAAACATTTGTTCTTGTCATTAACTCGTGGGGAGTGCATGGTGATTATGGAAAGTCAGGAGATTTGTAGCTTTAGAGTGTCTCATCAATGGTTACAATTTTATTGAGACGAGATCAATAAAACAAAAGACACAGGACTTTCAAGAGGAATACAATGCGTTTTAGCCAGGATCTTTAATAAGAAAAATCAAGTAATGAATCATATAAAGTGTTTTGTGTCTAGGTGAAAGAATACTATAAATAGGTCAAAGAAAAACATAAGGTCAACATAAAGGAATGATTTAAGAGGATAACATGTAAGGATAACAAACAAAGCAAGATTCAACAAGTTTCAAATTGGATCTGAAGGGGTTGGTATACTAAGACACAGAGAAGAGAAAGTGTGCTTGAAGACATTTTGGCTAATTGGTATATTTTGTGCTGTTCTAAGTGGACAGTTGGAAAAAATATTAACCCTTTGAATGCCATGGATTATTGCAGTGATGTCCATCCTCCGAAGGGTTGAAGGAACAACAACCTACTCCCTCCCCTCTTCCCCAGATATTTCATTTCTCACTTTTTCTTAAAAACAGAGGAAGGGAAAGAGAATTAGAAAAATCGTACACATTTACACTTGCTGCTGTTTGTTCCATGTCTTCCTCTTACCCCTTATTCTGATACTTTTTAAACCCAAAACCTCAAAAACCCATCAAATTATTTCCCTCAAAACTGTTGATGGCGCAACTTGCACCTTAAAATCCTCTTCTCTACACCTCTGGATTATTTTAAACTATCATACACAAACAAGCAATTACCTCTGCCAGTTTGATTTATCCAGTCATGATGAATAAAGGTATAGGTGGAAATGGAAAGAAACATAATTAGAAGACATTCAAATATGTGTGTGTATGTGCCTGTAAAAAGACAATTTATTGATTATTGATATGCCCCTAGCATGAGAGAAAAAAAAGACATCAAAGTTTTAACATTTTCCTCTCATGCTGGAGGCATATCAATAACCAATAAATTATCCTAATGTCATAAATTATAAAAAAAAGAAAGAAAAAATACAAAAAAAGGACCAGCATAACTCAGTGAGTAAAGCACTACGCCCTGCGGCTTTTGTTGGAGTTCAGCTGTGGAAGGTAATTTTTTATTCTGTTTCATCAGCTGAGGAATGAACCTAGGATCCAGAGATCCTCTTAGGGCATCCTTAGCCTCTATAAACTGGATTCTCTTAAATAAATGATTAATTAAGAGGGGAAACATAGCAGTTTAGTTTCAATCAAATTTCCTCCTTGTATAACTGTTAACCAAAAAAACAGAACATAAAAAGTAATGAACCCAATATTCTCCATAGATTGTGGTATAGGCTATTTTTTTTTTAATGTCAAATTTTAACACATATTCGTCTGTGTGACGAGAATTCATCATTTCGCAAACAATCACCAAAAGCCAAATGACGAAAATTTGAAAAATAAGCTTAAAGGAAATTTAAAATAAAATAAGTATTTAAAAATAGTTTATTAATGTAAAAGAACTTTATTCATACTGTTTTATTCTAATTTTTAAAAAATTGGCATATCCTTACAAGCCTATAAATTGGAACACAGTTCCTACAAGAAACTTACCTCTTTGAACACACTTCAGACCATCTTGCATGAGTTCTAGATTATCAGGACAACCACAGGTGATTTTAGGAGAGTTCAAATTAATGAAAGGTGCTGGCAAGCAGAGATGAGAACAGTTTGCCTTAGTTTCCAGACAGTAATTTGTTCCATTCGGCTGTCGGTATTGGTGATACACATGAACAACCATAGGACTTTGTAGCTGGATATAATTCAAATAAACATTACTATACTTATTGAAATCTGATATTTTTTTTATTTACATAAGCTTATAACTTTATTGCTTTGAGTATTTTAACATTTATAACTATATTTAAAAATATAAGTTGGAGCAGTTGAAGTAACTTAGAATTCATATATATTTTAACTATAAAATTAACTCAAGATATTGACTTAAATCTTTAATCATTATATTTGCAATGTTTTAAATAAACTAATGTCACTTATTAAAAAATAATACATATATTTTACCTTACGGATTGGAATTAGTGGAGTTACATTGGACCCATTAAATTTGTTAGCTTTAAAAATTGTTTGTTTTTCCCAATCAGTCCAATAAACAACATCTTCAAAAACTGAAATAGAAAATGGGTGATGCAATGTCTCAGAAGACTTTAAAATAACAGTCCTTTCTGATCCATCATAATTCACGGATGATATTAGATTAAGTTTTGCATCAGCCCAGTACAATCTATGTCTTACTAAGTCTATAGTAAGTCCATTTGGCCACTTAATATCATATGATACTATAATTTGCCGGTGTGTTCCATCTAATCCAGCTCTTTCAATTTTTCCTTCTTCTCCCCAGTCACTCCAATACATCCAACTGAAATATAGACAATGATGAACATAAGAATTAGGGATATGATTGAGAAAATATGAACATTGTTCACCTCTCATGAATAAACATTGTATATGTATAAACTCATACTGTAATATACAGTCATCAGTTTAAGAGAGAATAATGCCTACTAACAAATAATAATAACACTTAATAACTCATAGCAATTACATTTTAATTGGCAAGGCTCAAAAAATGTATCAGAGAAAGTTCAAAGTAAATTACACAATTGCCCATATTACTTGAATAATGTTTAAAACAGCTGGTATCGATAACCTCCAGATTTTTTTATGAAAATAAATATATAAGGCACTTACCCTTCAAAAGGATTTAATGCTAATGCTCTTGGTTCATCCAGTTCATGTGAAATTAAAGTTTTTCTCATAATACCATCAAAGGTGGCTACTTCAATTGTGTTCTTTCCTGTGTCAGTCCAATATATATGATTATAGATCCAGTCAACAGCTAGACCATCACAAGTTGTGACATCATTGTTTATAACTACAATACGGGCGTTTCCTTGGTCAATTGGAGCTCTATTGGAACAGTATTTTCATTTATTAAAGAAAATGAGATGAATCCTATGAATAAGGTAAACATTATAGCAGTTCATATAATACATTTAGTAAACATTATGAAACTGAAATTCCAGTAGTTATTTGCTTTCAATCATGTTATGTTTTTTTTTATTTTATGATTCCATTTGGTTTCTATAAACACATCTTAATCTAATATTAGTAAACCAAATAAACTATTCATGTGACTTAAAATAAATATTTATGTTTTAAATGGCTATAATCCAATGTTTGTATTTATATATATTATTAAATTGTATACAGTTAATATTATTCATGTCTTAAAAACATTTTTTATTCTTATTAATGAATAGTTTAAACAAATGTAAACAATTAAGTTCAATCAAATTTAGTGCTCGACATGAAATGAGGTTGTAAGAAGCCACCCAAATGAAGCATTCCCAACTATTAATAATAAAATTCAAAACTTGAGTTTAAAATTTATTATTTTTAAAAATTTTATAATAATTAAGTATTTTATATCAATGTTATATTTTAGGTCGCAATATGAAACCGTACAAATACAAAATTTTTGATTTAGGCTTATTTTAGTATTGCCAAAATTTGTGCACAACAACCAATCATTAATTTTTTTAATTGATAGAATATAACTATTACTTACTATTGAAAACCAACAATAAAAAAATATAGATATCTCAATATGATCAAAACTTAATTTTTAAACAGTTTTAGTCTCTATGAAAAGTTGAGATTTGACAGTTACATGGTTTCACATTGAAGCCTGCAATATACACATTGTTATTTTATATTATGAGAAGGAGTTAATTGGGGGATGCGGTCAAATAATTTAACATATTTAATTAGTTGACCGCACCTGCCAATTAACTCCTTCTCATATTATATCAACGGTCAACCATCTCTACATCGTTATTTTATATTATATTTTTTTCAAATAATATTACTCATTATATATAACTAGTTTAAGTAGTTTTTAGTTTATTGTTTCTTTTTACTTATTTTTTTTTATTTCCCAACAAAGATAAACTGCGGACTCACTGAGGCCTATTGTGCGCATTATAGTATAGTAGTTTAAGCATTGTAACTTACTTGTAAATTTTTTGCTCAATTGCATCACTCCAGAATATAATTCCTGTTTTATATACAAAGTCCAGGGCAGTTGCAGATCTTGTGTCATTTACAACTACTGTCATATCTTTGTGATCAACTGACATTATTCTGATATCATGAGTTCGAGTTAACAACAACTGTGTATGCCCCTCTGTTGGTTTGCATCGTGTACGATCATAAGGATCTTTTAAATAGCCAGGTTGGCATTCACATTTATAAGTACCTTCTTCATTTATGCACATATGAGAACATGAACCAGGATTGTCACATTCATTTATATCTATATTAAATATAAATTGATTTGAAATCATTTCTCAATACTTTGATTATAAATTTTACAAAAGTGTGGTAATAAGCAAATTATTAGTTCATTCTTTTGAAAAGCCTCAAAAAGCTCACATTTTCAATTAAATAAAAGATATTTTAAAATTTTCAAAACATCTTGTAAGTTGATATTTTATTTTAAATTAATAATAAACACGTGATTTCGAAAAAGGTTTGAATATATTATAGATTATAAAAGGGTATAGAAATTGAACTTTAATACAAAATTTATTCTTATAATAGTAGTATTTAGATGTATGTATTTTATAAGAGTAGACTCAATAAAATTTTTCTTAAAAAAATATAAGATGTTTGGCTATTTTTAAATATAAAATTAAATAAGAAACAAGAAACTTTTTTATATTTATTATTTAAAGATCATAAAATAAATTATACCTTCACAAGAATGATTCCCAGCTAATTTGAATCCAGCTTTACAAGAACAGTAGTAGCTAGTTGCTGTGTCAATGCAAAAATGTGAACAACCACCATTGTTATCATTGCATTCATTTAAATTACACTTGTTGAATGGTTCGTCTTCATTATTTGGACAATCTGGTTTTTTATCGCAAACTTTACTGTCAGGAATACAAATGTTATGTCCACAATCAAATTCATTTTCCTTGCACGAAAAAATAACCCCAGCTAAAATAAAACACTTGATTTTGATACATTCATTAAGGGAAAAAAATATTAAATATATAAGTTCATGTAAGTAAATATGTAAAAAAATAAGTTGTAAACAATTATTTATTTTACAATAAAATATTAATGTATCTTACAGTTAGTGTACAAATTGAATGATTGATGTTCATGCTGTCTCATATTAACAACCAAACATTAGAAAGAAAAGTAAATCCTAATAATTAAGTCAATCAATTTAAATCTTATGGTGTTGAAATAAAAATATTTCTGAATTAAAACAATTAAAAATGAAAAGAATTAATTGAAAATCATAATTTTAAATAAGAAAATGATGCAATCTATAAAAAAAACCTTGAGTTTGACTTTTTTGAAAATGATAAGGTTTTATCCTCTTCTATACCTTCTAATAAATAGACCAGGACATTTCAAAGGCATTAACACCAGAGTCCCAGAGGATACACAGTTCTGTACCACGGAGGTAAAGAACACCATGTCCATTTTTGTATTTGTTTAAGAGAGCCAGTTTTCTATAACTTTGAGTTATTAAAATTTATTTCTTAATTACTAAACATCCCGGAGTTAAAGGACACATTTTTGTATATGGTACGAGGAGCCAATTGTCTATAACTTTGAGCTATTAAAATTTGTCTCTTAGTTACTAAATAATTTAATAGAAAAATAGGCACAGTGATCTTTTCCTCTGGGGCCTAATGTTAAGAATATGACCTGGATCAGTTAAAATTAATTTTGTGAATTTTTCCCGCAATGTATATTAGCATTTCTATCCTGATTAGAAAAAGGCAGTATATGCAACCATAAGGTCTTGGGAAAAAGAACTGACCGATTCTGGTTTTTATATAAGGTCATAACTAGTTGAACGGTTCTCTAAATCAGAACCATAGCAGGTCTCTATAATAGGCAACAAATAAATTGCTGAAAAAAATTCCAGCAGATGTATAAAATAGATAAATGCCACTAAATAAAACATTAAGGATTGCTCACAGTGTTAAAGTTGGGCGTGAGATCCTTGTTGCAATCATGGGAGAGAGAGAAACAGATTATTGAAGTTAATGGTTTTGATTGATTTGTTCTAGGCCAGGTATAAGATTTACTATTTTTTAAACATGCTCTACTAGTTTTTTAAAACTTTAGGTGCATGTGGATGTGGTTTCTGGTAAACCTTCCTTCTTATCTTATGTTACATCACACAACCTGCCTTTTTATCTAGGTAAGCTGTTTGATCTAGGACTGCCTTTTTATCTAGGATCTGTTCCTTGCTATTTTAAATAGCATTAAGCTATTTTGCCTTCCAATATTATTATTATATTTATACTTCTTATTAATATATATTATGAAATGAAATGAAAAATATTTTATTATTCCGGGACTGCTGTCCCTTTAGAACAAATTATAAATAAAGATTGTATGTCTGTGTGGTCACAACTAGATCACATACTTACAATAGCAGCTGACTAAAAATAAAAATACTGAAGAAGAGAAAGAAAAGAACAAGAAAATTGTACATATATATAAGAAACTAAAATAACTTAAATAAATTGAGGTAGTCTCTGGGGGTACTTAGATATTTCTCCCAGGCATATTTCGCAATCAGTCGGATTGAGAAAGGAGTAGGTGTTTAAAGAGGAGAGGTTTGAAAGAGGAAACTGATTGTGCTAGTCGAATATCAGCAGGGATGGAATTCCAGAGAGAGGCAGCTTGAATTGCAAAGGGTTAGTCAAACGCAGCAGTTCAATGAGGAGGAGGATAGAGGTCGGAAGTACGAGATCTAGTGGGATGGGATTGGAGGGAGTATTTGAATTGTAAGCTGTGAAAAATATAGAAGGGTCGATGAGTTCTAATGATCTGGTACAGAAACGTGGCTAGGAAGTATTGACGGCTATAGGATGGGTAGAGCCACCTCAACTCGGTGTAATACTAGGTAATAAGCATATCTCTTGAGATTCCGAAAACAAATCGTAATGCGCAATCCATTAGGCGTTTAAGTTTGGCCTCGAAATATGCCGAGAGTCCACCATACACCATACAGTTATAGTCGAAGTAGGGGAAAACAAGGGAAGAAACTAGGAATTGACGAGACTTATATGGAAGGAGATAACGTAGACGATTGAACTGTTTTAGGGTGGAGATAGTGCGAGGGGGAAATTGGTGTGGTTTTCAGGACAGGGTTTGATCAAAATTAACATCTAGATTTTTAACGGTAATGTAGAATAAGATAGGTGAGTTGTTCATGAGGAGATTGGGGGTTACCGGGAAGGATTTGAGGAGTGAGGGGGATCCGATCAAGATGGCTTTTGTTTTCTCAGCGTTCAGAGTGAGCCTGTTGAGGTTTGCCTAAGCAATTATTCTGTTAATATCTTCTTGGAGCTTTAGAATGGCATCTGTGAAATCGGTCGGAATAAAGGAGAGGTAAATTTGAATGTCGTCGGCATACAGGTAGTATTGACAGTGCAGGGTAGAGTATGGGAGGTCATTTATGTAGATGGAGAAAAGGATGGGAGATAAGGAAGAGCCTTGTGGGACGCCTCTGGACAGAGGTAGAGATTCTGATGGGGAGTTATTAGAAATTACAGCATACTGGGAGCGACCAGTAAGGAAGGATTGGAACCAATTAAGAGAACTTGAAGAAAAAGAAAATTTTTAAGTTTGGTTAGGAGGATGCTGTGGTCTACTGAATCAAAAACTTTGTAAAAGCCAAGAAGAACAAGGATGGTTAGTTTCTAATGATCTATGGCTGTGTGAATATCTTGGAAAATTTTGATTAGCTCACTTTTGTTGAGCCTGATTTCGAGCTCCGAGACCCGGGAATTGAGAGTCGTGTTTTCCAGGACCAGTCCGTCGATCTTAGAATTTTGAGCCTCCAGTAGTGTCCAATTTCGCCGCATTATCGAAAGTTATAAAGGCTTGCTTTTCGAGGGATATTTTTAGTTCTTTCACCTCGTTTGCATTGGCATTGAGGGAGAATTTTAATCCCTTGACCTCTTCTTTAAGATCTTTAATGGCACTAAGTAACAGTTGTGACGTGACGTCGACAGTTTGTTGTTGTGGAGCCGATCTTGGGGAGCTAAAGCACTTATCTATCGGTTGGATATTTTCCCGGACCTTTTCACATTTCGGACATACCCATTTTTTTCGTGATGACCTCAGTGCTTCAAATTCACTCTCATCTGTGTTTTAGCATTATCCATGAAAAATGGCTTGACACGTCGTGATAGTGCATACTATTGTTTTTTTATCTTCTCTAACTATGGTCTGTCTGCAAATTGGGCATAGAACCATCATGATAGGTGCGAGAAAAAAGAAAAAAAAGATACGTAAGTGAGACGTATAAAATTGACACAACTCCAATCTTGTCACAGAAGACACTGAGATATCTAGTGGCTAGTCTTTTCTATGCGCATGCGCTCCCCACTTTTATTCTTATCTAAAATGTCTATGATAGATAGATACTTTAAGCCGTCCAAAACTGAGATTGTTTCCTTTCTTCTTCTGACCTAAGACGTCGGTTTAGTAAAATAAAAGTATTATGTTATTATTACATTTGTTTTTGTGTTTTTGAATTTCATATAAAGATAGGGATTAGCAATGCCTTATCACAATTATCAGTGCTCAGGTTATAAACATTGGCTGATAGCAGTCCTTAGAGACCACGTCCTTCATAAGTACCAAATTTTAGTTCTTAATTTTTTTTAAGTGCTAGTCTTAACCCCATAAAAGAGCTGATCCTGAGTGCCAAGTGGAAGGTTATCAATCTCATCTGGTAAAATGACTTTGACAGAGCTTGAAATTGAACATATTCTCTGTCCTGGATTGGTATTACCTCATATGCTCATATTAATCTATGTTAATTTTATTTCATTAACTATCAGTCCCACATCACCGGTAATGCTAAATAACAAATTAAGAACCTTTTGGATAATTTTCAATGATCTTTTCTGCAAATAACTGGCTATGAGTATAAAATAATCTATATTGTTTGTTTAAGTTTTTCTGCATACATCACATTCAAAATAGAAAAGTCTGTTTGGCGGTTGCAAAATTCTATGATAGTTGTAATAGAATAATTTATATAAAATTATTCCACTGATTCATAGGTGTAAATGATTTGGTATATTAATAAGGAGAATTTTCTCCTAATTTATAGGAAAATGTAAATAATAGAAAAAATGTGTTAATTTTGATATTTATTTTTTAGAATGAAGCGATAATGTAACCAATTTGTTGTCATATTGATACGAGGAGAATCCTCTTTAATTGATTTTAAACTATAAATATTTTTAAAAATCATGTATTTTCTTCAAAGAAGTGAATAAGTTAATTACTAAATAATAAAGAACGTGAGGAAGACTAAATCTAAACGACATAATATAATCTAACCTAATTGCATGTTATTGACCCCCCTGAGACATCAAAATTGAAATCTATCAATTTAAACATGGTGTCATTCTCTGCTAACCTGTCCATTCTTCCAATAGTTGAATCAAGTTTTGTAATTGCTGTTTTATTGTCCTATTAAAATACAGATAATTTATACTTGTAATTTATTTTTTGAAAATTTGTTTTTATTATTTTTTTTTTGTTTTAGAATCAAATAAAACAGAGTGAAAAATCAAAAAAAAAAAAATACCCCTAGACCAAAGCCTCTGCATCTGCAACACAACGAACCAATGAATCAGGCACATAAAAAACGTATTTTAATGGAAAGAAGAATGCAACAAGAGCTAGAAGAACAGGCAGAGGTAGAAAGGAAGAAGGAAGAAATGTATGATAATATATCTATTAAAATACAAAAATTAGAAGAAAAGATAGTTGTGTTAAAAGAATGGAAACAACGAATGAGTGTGGAACTGAGAAGAGTTAAGGTTCAGAAAAAAAATCATCCTAATCTCCAATATTCAGAGCAAAATACAGTCATATCTGGAGAAACAGAACCTCACCATGTTTCTATCCCTGTTCCTTCAGCACATGTTTTACCTCAGCAAGCATACTCTAATTCACATCTTCATGCCCAGGAGTCACAAAATCTACCAGGAAACCATGTTTCTATCCCTGTTCCTTCAGCACATGTTTTACCTCAGCAAGCATACTCTAATTCACATCTTCATGCCCAGGAGTCACAAAATCTACCAGGAAACCATGTTTCTATCCCTGTTCCTTCAGCACATGGTTTACCTCAGCAAGCATACTCTAATTCACATCTTCATGCCCAGGAGTCACAAAATCTACCAGGAAACCATGTTTCTATCCCTGTTCCTTCAGCACATGTTTTACCTCAGCAAGCATACTCTAATTCACATCTTCATGCCCAGGAGTCACAAAATCTACCAGGAAACCATGTTTCACACCCTTCTACAGGACCCTCCTATTCTGCCCTTCCCATGAGAACTGGTCCTCAAAAACAACGTATAAACCAGCCTAATATGTATTATAGAGGGAATACTAACTTAAATGCGAGAAATAATTATTATTCTGTTCCTTATAGACCTGATCCTCATTCTATGCCGTATGGAGGGACTCTTGCGATACCACCTCCTCAAACACATTCTAATGTCATCACCCATGGCTATCCTATCAGACAACCATTCTTTGCACCACCTCCTCAAACACATCCTAATGTCATCAATCCTGGCTATCCTATCAGACAACCCTTCTATGCACCACCTCCTCAAACACATCCTAATGCCATCACCCCTGGCTATCCTATCAGACAACCATTCTTTGCACCACCTCCTCAAACACATCCTAATGTCATCACCCCTGGCTATCCTAACAGACAACCCTTCTATGCACCACCATCTCCTCAACCTGTGGAACCAGGAAGTTATGCACAATTTGAACCAGATCAAAATGTCTATAGACCAGTCCTACCACCACCAATTAGACATAGTTCTCTTCTACCTTCTGTTGTTTCTCCATGGCAACATCCAGAAAGAAGGTGTTTTTATAACCAACCTCAAATGTATACTGAAGCTCATGGCCCTTATGTAAGGAATGAATTTCAAATTTAAATATTTTTTTTCTATGTTTACTTTAGACAACATTTTATTAATTAAGTTTAAAGATTAAAAAAAATATACTAACTTATAAAATTATTTTTTTCAAAGGAAAGTCATTTCATGGATTTAAACCAATAAATAAATAATATAATAAAATATACTTACTGCTGAGGCAATTTTCTTCATCACTTCCATCAGAACAATCAGGATGACCATTACAAAAAAGATAACCAGGAATACAAGTTTGATTCTTACATTTAAACTGATCAGACCGACAACTTACAACACACATATCTGGACTTTCATCATCACCATCTAGGCAGTCCTCATGTCCATCACATACCCAAGAAGGATTTATACATGTTCTACGATCTTTACATTGAAATTCATTTTCAAGGCAGAAGGAAAATCTAGAGTGTGGACAACCCTGAAATGGAAAAATGATTGTCAATTCATTAATCAAACAAATGATGATCAAAAATGAGTTTAATAAAAAGATTAAATGTTCTATTAGTGACTAATTATATGAATATAAGAAGTAAATATTTGAACTACGTTCACTATTTTAAAAAGTTATTGCCACAAATGTTAATTTCTTTTTTATTGTAATCTTTGTGGAAGAACATAGATCATTAAATAAAATATTTAAAATTTGCTAGTTTGCTACCATGGCATTATATTTTATTTGTAATTAAATGATAGTGTTTTTCTTTAGACAGATACATGAAATGTCAAGAAAAACACTACAGCTATTCCAATATATTTTAATTTGATTAATGTATCTAGCATCTATTTTTAATTAAAACTTCCTACTATAAACAGAAAAATGTAATCATCTTATTAAATTTAAAATTTGTAATTTTCCATCATTAAAAGTTTTATAAACCATATAGAGTTAAATGAATTACCATTTCATCTGAATTATCAATACAGTCATTTTCGCCATCACAGCGCCAGGTGTCTGGTATGCAAGTTTTGTCAGGACATTGGAAATCTTTACTGTTTTTACACTTACTGGTACAATTTACTTCATCAGAGCCATCTTTACAATCCTTATCATTATCACATATCATGAACTGAGGTAAGCATTCTCCAGATTTACAAGTAAACTGTTCGGTTCTACATGTCTTTGCTAATGTTAAACACACACACATATTAATTAATTAATTTAGAGTCATTCATTTTAATATGCACATAGAATTCATTTAATACATAAGAAAATAAATACTGTTGCATTGTTTACATAAATCATGTTTTAAATACATTTTTTTAAAAGAGGCTAATTAATATAAAAATTCTTCACTACATAATTGAATAAATTATTAATATATCTTTTTGAACAATTTATATTATTATCCTTATATACTTCCAGACTGCCTCAAAAAAGTATCCATATAGTTAATTTTTCTTTTTAGATTGCTAATAATCTATTTATTATATTATTGTTATTAATCAGAAAGGATAGTACAGGCAAAGGTGTACGAACATGATAACAAGTTCATGCTGGATCACCAATATTCCATAACAGGAAGAGATACAACTTTAATCTGAAGGTCAAAAAAGTTTCCATACATCTATAATATCTTAACTCTGTTTCTATTCAATGCAATTATTTTGATCAAATTTATTATCTGAACACTACATCCAAGGTTTATTTAAGGTTCAGCCTACTTCAAATCATCATTATGCTAATTGAATCCCATTCTGCCAACATTGTCAATTAACCATTGTTTTACTTTCTTTGCAGTGTGCTTTATATCATTGTCCTGTTGAAAAATAAACCCCGTCATAAGTCAAAGTTTTCCAGAAGAACTTTATAAATTGTTCCTTAAAATGTTTAGGAATACACCCTGGTCCATAATTCTATCAATAAAAACTAGATTGTCAACTCCTAAAGCACTCATATCTCCTCATACCATTACACTTCCACCTCCAGGCTTGAAGGTCGGTCGCAAATTCTTTGAAATAAGTGATTCTTTGTCTTTTCTCCAGATATGACACCAGCCGTCTGGTACAAAAAGATTGAATTTGGATATATCTGAGAACATAACAAAATCCCAGAAACTTTCTGGATTATTGGCTTACTCCATGGCAAACGCCAACCTCTTCTTATTTGTTTGCCTTTTTTCATGCAATTTGCCCATGAAAACCTTTCTTTCTGAGGACATTCTGGACAGTTTTTGGATTTACGCATCCCTTATAATCTCTTTCAAGCCCACTGTCTAAGAATATTGCACTTGTACAGAGATTAAATGCACCTGGTTCAGAATAGTCCTATAAATTCTATCCAATTTTCTTGGGCGGCCTGAATGAAGCCTGTCCTCCAAAAATTTAAATTCACTGTGTCTGTTTAACACTTACTGCACAGTTTTATGAAATTTATTTTGTAAAGTTTCAATTTTTTGGTGAGAAAATCCTTGACTTCTCAACCACACAATTTGGTCATGAATGCACTGCTCTATACCCATAATGATGATTTGAAGTAGACTGAACCTTAAATAAACCTTGGATGTAGTGTTCAGAATTATCTGCATTTATTAAAATTTATTATTAAAATGTATCAAATTTATTAAAATTTGAGCAAAATAATAACATTGAATAGAAACAGAATTAAGATACTATAGATGTATGGAAACTTTTTTGACCTTCAGATCAAAGTTGTATCTCATCCTACTATGGGAACTTGTTATCATATTAGTACACCTTTGCCTGTACTACCCTTTCTGATTAATAAAAATAATATAATGAATGGATTATTAGCAACGTTAAAGAAAAATTAACTGTATGGAAACTTTTTTGAGGCAGTGTATTTTCAGTTGACAGAAATAGTAAGACCATTCGATTGAGATAATAATCTCCAAAATATACTAAATCCATTTTTAGAAATATTCAAGAAAAAAACAAAAATCTGTCCCTAATTTGTTATTGATCAATTTACAATTTTCAAACATTATTTACACGAGGTTTAAATCTTGTAGATCAAAATGGAGTGACGGATTTCCATAATTCCATAAGTAATTGTATCTTAAGTTTAATTATTTCTTCAAAACTGGCTTTTACTCTTTCATAGTGAATAGACAAAATACTTTATCTATTATGGGCAAAAATAGTGATTAAATAACATGAAGAACACTACATATCCAGATGCTTTGGCATTAGCCAATCAATGGTTTCCAGGATAGTAAAGAATTACAGAATGGCAGGCAACCCCACAAGGAGACCCTGAACAGGATGATGACCAACTTATTCAATTGTAATTGAATGTATGTATGTATTACAAATGTATTTCCCAAAGCTAATGAAGTAATGAATTCAATTGAAGGAGGCAAAGGAGTAGATATTTCTAGAAGAACTGTACAAGGAGTTTAAATGAAGTTGTTATGAATAGTAGAAAACTGGTGACCCCTCTACTTATCACTAAACCACAAAAAGTTCAAAGACTCTAGTTTGCCCTGGTATATATTGATCGGGTATATAATTAAACTTAATTAAATAATATTAAACTTAAGAAACAATTAGCTGTAAGAGAAATGAATATCATGAAGTGCACTGAGAGAATTAATTTTCCTGGAATAGGAATAAAAAAATATAACTCTTTATTAAGTCTTGTTAATTGATGTGATACTTTTGTTCAGTAGTTTATTTTGAATAGTTTTGTTTTTATTTGCAAAATATTAATAAAATATGAAAAACACTTTATTAGCAATATTTTGTAAAATGTCAGTTACTATTTCACAAATTAATAGGCTCTTACTGCAGTTTTTTTCATCCAGCTCATTCATACAGTCTGGTTGGCCATCACAAATCCATGAATCAGGTATACATATTCCAGGTTCACATTCAAAATAAAATACTCCACATTTTGTAAAATCTGTAATTTTTAAATTTGACATTAATTTAATAAAAATTCACATTTATTTACTTTGTTAAAAAAAAAAAAAATGGTAAACTGTTTTATTTAATATTGATTGTTTGTTAGCATAGATAAATATTTGTATTAATGTTATATAAATCAGATTTATTCAGAAAGTTCTTTAATTAGTGACCAATTTAAAGTTGGGCTGCCAAGATTAATAGTATAATATTATACAAACCAAAATACCATCAAGAGTTTAGGAATACATATGAAATTTTTATTAAATATATTGAAATGTTTCTAACATTATATTATAAATTAGTTTTTAAGATTTTAGATTAAATCAGTAGGTTTTCTAAATCTACATTTTCTACAGCCTTCTTATAGATTACTCCATATAACTTCCATTCCTAGGCAATTCTTCCAGAATTCTTTTAAATGTCTAAATCATATTTTAATAGTTTGTAATTGTTCCACATGGGCCTAATGCTTTATAACTTGCATCAAGGGTTTTTAATGATAAATTAACCAAATGCCCCAAGATTGTCAGTCATTTGTTGGTTTACAATAAACAACAAGGATTGTCAATCTTAAATTGGTCAATAATGTGCACCAATATTTATTAATTATTCATAGATTAAAAATGTGTATCCTAGCATCATCATTCATTGATTGGTTAAAGATGTGTATCGAGTAATGTCAATCATTCATTGATTAACAATGCACCTTAAATGTCATCAATATTCATAACAATGAAATCAAGATTTGTTAATCATTCATTTATTGGTGAACTATATATACTATGTTAGTATACATTGAAATGTTTCATATTGATTACTCAATTTATTTAACTAATCTTTTTTAGGCTTTTGAGATGAGGCGTGCTTCCTTGGATCTCTATCAGATATCTATATATATATATATATATATATATATAAATATATATATATATATATATATATATATATATATATATATATATGTGTGTGTGTGTGGTGAAAACTTACTTCCATTATAATGTATTTTAATTAATAAAGGATTCACCAACTGACATTTTGGAGATCTCCTCCATCGTCAGGGTTACATTCTAAGAAAACAATACTAATTTAACAACACTAATCTCTATCAATAAATAAATATAAATTAAAAAAAAACATACTCTATGTTATATTTTCCTGAAACACTTTTAACTATTGCCTTAATTAATTATTGCACATAGCTTATGATTTTTTCCATAACTACAATCCATATAAAAATGTTTAGTCATAATAATTAAATAAAATGCATTTTATTTGTTTTATAAAAAAGTTTCATATTCTGGGAAAATCACGTTAACTAAATATCTCAGCTACTTAATGTTATATACTTAATAATAAAAAACCCACTTTGTCGTTCGCTTAATGTATTTTTCCAATGTTTGGGTTCCATTTCGACTTTTCCCTCATTTTGAGACCAAATACTAACAATCATTTCCAGTTACCTAGAAGAACTTATAGCTTCCCCCTTTCTATATTTCTTTTGTGCAGAGAGAATGCAGAGAGAAAAATGTATTTAATCTTAAAATTTCGTATTTTTTGTGATATAGTCCAACTTCCGAAAAAAATAAAGGAAATAAAAATTATTTTTTTTAATAGCGATATATGAATTTTACTAAACAATCCATCACCTATTCATTAAAAGTAGTTCAGATTAGGTATATATTATTTTAGTTTATAAAACAGATATTAATATGACTCATTTTCGGGGAAGTATATACAATTTAAATTACCTCTAAGAATCAGTAAATATATAAAATAAAATGTTAAATTGCAAATATTAAATAAAAAATTCAAGATATTCTGCAAAGTATTTTTGAATTAAGTTTTATTATTATAATTATATAATTTTTATAATAGAGCCATTCTTAAGCGATCTCCGTATAGAATAAAGGAAGTTAAATTAAAAAAAAAAAATAATAATAAAGTTAAAAAAAATATTTGACAATTAAATTATTGTATTAATATTCGTTCGTTAATACAATCAATATAATATAACGAAACGTTATTATAGCACTATAACTAAGCCATTTATGAGTACTGAGTGGTGTGGTAGAGGCCTGAAGGCGCCTACGCCAGTAGCGCTTTTCTGCCGCTTAAGTACATTTTCTACGGAACTACTTCAAATATTTTAAAAAGTAATCAGTGTTTTAGAAAAAGAAATGTATTCTACAGATGTTTTATTTCAGCACGTTTTGCATTATTGTTGACCGTTTAATTACAAACGACGCTTGATTTTCAACTTGAAAATTTTTTTGTAAAAAAAATTGACTTTACCGATTTTTTTCAATGCCTAAACCAGTTAGTTTTTAACATTTTTTCATGTTTTATTATTCTATGACTATCCAGCTTTAATAAAAGACCAACTATAATGAAATTAAGCCAAATGCTGATTCTCAGTAACAAAAAAACTAACTAAAATCAAAGTCGTCAATCCGCCATGTTTAGACGCCATTTTGGGGCAGTTCGTTCACTTTTTTTTGTGGGAACATTGGCTTTTTTTTAATAAATTGTCACAAGGAACACAATGATATGCAATTTATAGGGATGTGGGGGGGGGGTGCACGGTAAGGGGGTCTGGCCCACGGACTATAGTACATGCATTTTCTACTATCGACTAGGTATTTCAATACATACATTTTTTTTATATGTATGTAATGTATGTATATTCATGTAATGTATATATATATATATATATATATATATATATATATATATACAAGTAAAGTTTTTTTTTTTGAAATGAACTTATTCTATCTCTTTTTCGTTCTTCATTTCTCAAAGTGTATGTTTATGTTGTTCAACCCTTATATATAGTTTTGTTCATAGTTCAAGTGATTCGTTCATAGTTTTAATTGTTTTGTTCATAATTGTAAATGCTCTGTACATAGTTTTATCTGTATTGTATATAGCTTGTGCACCTAAGGTTTTCTTTACTTTTTATTTTATTTTATCAATTTTATTTATTGTTTCAAACTTTTAGGCCAGTAATATTCTATTCTTTTGTATAATATTGTTATTCTAAAGGAACTTAGTCCCGGAATAAAGTTTTTTTTTCTATCTATCTATCTATATATACGTATACATGTTTACATATACATATACACACACACATACACATGTATACATACACACACACATAATATAAATACAATTTGTTAATTGGGGTGTTTGAGTTTATTGTTACTTGTTTGATGATTGATGAGAAACCGTTAAATTTTCATAAATAAACAGATTGATTTAGACGTTTAGTAGTATGTGTTTATTCCGTCTGCGTGTTTACCGTTTCAAAGATGTCTTGTCATAGTTTCCTATTGTTCGGATCATAGGGTTTTCAGACGTTGATGTTAGGTAAAAAAATCTCTGAGCTTTAAAATAAATATATTTTTTATAGTGGAAAGCTGTAAATCATTAAAAAAAAAAAAAAAAAAAAAAAAAAAAAAAAAAAAAAAAAAAAAAAAAAAAAAAAAAAACATTGATAATGATATTTTGAACACCATCGATACTTCCTCACACTTTTCGATGAAAAAAAAAAATGTATTTTTTTCATTAATTTTGAAGATTATATAAACAACAATTGATGCATATCAAGTTATAAAGGTTCAACCAAATACTCTTAATACGGATTAAATTTACCGTTCTGAAATTATACCGACATTTAAAAAGAATAAGGGTTAGAGATTGAAAACCATTATATTTTATTACTGGCCAAATGGGGTAAAGCTTGTGCACAGCACCGCGAGTCGCCCGGCAACCAGATAACCGAAGTTATGAGATTTAAAAAGTACGAGTTCGCATCCCAGTGCCGGATGGGATTTTAAATTTCCCGCCCGCACCCTCCGGTCCGGGGAAAATCCCGTATAGTCTACAAGGCGAGGTAGGAAAGAACATAAAATAATGTTATAGGAGATATTAGTACATACCTAGAAATTGTTCGAACATTTATACATACAAAAATAAATTTTAACTACCTTCGGGTAGACCATCGCGGTTTAAATTAATACGAATTTTATATTTAACAATGACTGACTAAAAGTTGTAAGAAATCAATTTTCCGGAGGATATCGGAGGTTTTTTTTAAATCACAGTAACTGTAAAAATTTTATTTAAAAACACTTATTTTTGTTAACAAAAAAGAAAAAAGATTCGAAGCAAATCAAGTTTTAGAAACGATTATATATTTTTTAATTAAGCAGAATCACAGAAAAAAAGGGTATAAAGTTTCAAGAAAAATTATCAACCATCAGCTCGAATTAAGCAATTTTACAAAACCTACATATCACGCGAAATTCCATAAATTAACTACGTTTTCAATTGAACTATTAACTAAAAATAGTATAACATGTTCATTCTGCCAACTAAAAATATCCTCACAAACAGCCTAAGATATCAATTAAACAGTTTATCCAGTTTTTAGAATTATAAAAAAAAACTTTTTTTTTAGCCGATGTCGCAGGTTCTCCATTACTCGGCCCACTGTGTGCTGGGCAGGTTTGTATATACAAACACTATAACACGTCGCGAATGAGTTACAACGTTTAAATAATATACATTAAATTAAATTTCTGTGACAATTATCCCTTAACCTTTTACAAAGAAAAAAATAAATAAACACTTATAAACTAATATTTGAAAGGGGTGAACGGTGAGAAAAAATAATAATGAAAAAAAAGATAAAGTATATGCGGCGTTAACAGTTATAATAACACATATAATTTAGCAGCTGCCTTCTCCATTATCACGTTATTTTTAATTAAGGAGTCTTTTTGTGCTTAAATTGAAGCGCCCCCAAAATGGTAAAATATAACTATGTTTTATGAAAAAAATTATCTCTAAAACTATTATTGCTGGTCTAATTACATTTAATAGGACTTAAATAACCACTTAAATGCCATTTTATATAGGTACATACTATGTACTACATAGTTTCTTTCTTTCTTCGGAAGTAATTATCGTAATATATAACCACAAAAAATCTTTCGGGCTGTAGCCCCCCTAAATTAAATCCTGGATCCGTTAGTGCCTAAGAATAATAACAAAAAAATATAACAAGTTCAAGAAATATACACATCAGTTTGGCATGTAGAAAAGCATATATATATTGTTAATTTATAAATGTTTCTTTATTTTTTCTTTGTAAAAGGTTAAGAGATAATTATCACAGAAATTTAATTTAATTTATATTATTTAAATGTTGTGACTCATTCGCGACGTATTATAGTGTTTCTATATACAAACCTGCCCAGCACACAGTGGGCCAAGTAATGGAGAACCTGCGACATCGGCTAAAAAAAAAGTGTTTTTTATAATTCTAAAAACTGGATAAACTGTTTAATTGATATCTTAGGCTGTTTGTGAGGATATTTTTAGTTGGCAGAATGAACATTTTATACTATTTTTAGTTAATAGTTCAATTGATTCAATAGTTCAATTCAATGTAGTTAATTTATGGAATTTCGCGTGATATGTAGGTTTTGTAAAATTGCTTGATTCGAGCTGATGGTTGATAAATTTTTAAAGTGATCAGTCTACTGATCTTTTTCATCTTCCCCATGGAGCATAGATGGCGACTAACAGTATCTTTCGACACACCACACTCCCTGGTAAGTTCGCGAGTACTCGTGGACGGATTTGACTCAACAGCTTCCTGCAGAACCTCACCAATATCCATTAATGGTCGACTGTAGCCCTTCTTCCTTTCCAACGTCGTGTCTCCACTGCTAATTTTTCAAACCAACGCCGCGCAGTGCGCTGGTCATGGAGACCTTCCAGTTCATATTTAATAATTTCACGAGTTGCTTCGGCGGCTATGAAGTTTTTTACACTAATAAAAAAATCCATGGTTTGCGTTTGCTTAATTTTTGAAGGTGTTATTCATCACGAATTTGTTCCTGATGGATGGTCTATGAATTATGAACTCTACTGCGAACAACTGGAAAGATTGTACGCGAAGTTGTCAGAGCTTTTTCCTGCTATGATCAACCGAAAATGAGTTTTATTTCAACATGAAAAGAATTTTATTCCATCAAACCAAAGAAAAGTTTAATGAACTTTATGGGTCCGACTCCTGCCTCATCCACCATATAGTCCTGACCATGCACCATCGGATTACTACTTATTTAGATCCATGGCCCATTTTCTTCATGGGAAAAAGTTTGATAATTTTGCGGAAGTTGAAATTTCGGTCCAAAAGTTCTTTGACAGCCATCCCAAAGAAGGGCAGCGTGCGATCGAGCAATTGACTATCAGATGACTAATGACGCCAGGTAACAATGGACTATACTTTGAGTATTAGTTGTATTTTATATCAAAGAAATAATAACACAAATATTTGCTTGAAAAAACAGTCATTTTTTTTATACACCTTATTAAAGCAATGAAGAAATTAAAATTGGCGAAAGAGCTATAAAATGACTTATGTTTATTGGTAATATATATCAGTGATAATTTTTTTATTGCAAACATTTACTATTATTATTTATTATTTATTTATCAACCAAACAAAAATGTGGAACATTAGATTAAATTTGCAATCTGCAAATTTCTTTGCAATAAGCAAATTTTTTGGCAGCTTCACAGCTTCCCATCACGTACGGGATATAAATCAGCTCAGCAGGTCTCTTGGCCAACGCCTACGTAATCGTCGTAGTGGGCTGTACGGGTTTCTTGTACTATGAAGGATTTCTGTCAGAGGATTCATGTTATACGTCAGTCTTTGGTGAAAGTTATTGTAGTTCTCTTTTGTAGTATCTAAAATTGTAGGTAAGTTTAAGTCTTTATTTAGTGTATCACGGTGCGTCAACTATACTTCGCAACACTTTTGACTGAAATTCTTTTTCTAACAATTCTATATTTGTTAGAAAAAGAATTGCTTTCCAAGGTAAATTTTTTATGACGAAATTCGTAATTAAGTCAAATCCCGGAGCTTTCATAGGCAAGCTCTGAATTAAATTTTGAACTTCGTAAGGATGAATTGATTTTGGTGGTAATGTCATGGGTAAGGGTACGTTAAGGTGACTTTGGGCAATTGTAGTAGAGAGTATGTCATTTATGTCATGAGGTTTAAATGTTTCTTCGAGGTGGCGAGCAAACAATTGCGCTTTTTGAGCATCTGACTTTGTCCATTAACCATCATCATGTCTGAGAGGATGTGAGACATCATGATGCTGTAGAACCCGTTTGGTTATATTCAAAATTGGTTTCTCACAATTTGCTAAACCATTCAAGAATTTTTCAAAATTTTCTGTCTTTGAACGTCTTATTTCATCGTGAAGTTGTCGAGTTAGTTTGTTAAACTTGTGTTTGTCAGATGGGTAACGAGTTCTTTGCCATATCTTACGAGCTTTTCGTTTTTGTACGATAAGATATCTTATCTCAGGTGAAATGTAATTATGGTCATGTTTGTCTGTCTTTTTGCTGAAGATGTCAGAAGTCTATGCTGAATTTTGTATTGTTTGTGTGAGGTGATGAACTGCGTCGTCCAAGTCTTCAGGCGTTCTTATATTAGTGTTCAGTGATAATGAATTTCAATAGATGATCTAAATTTGTTGCAGTCAATTTTTCCAGGTGTTAGCGACGGTCGGGGAGATTTGGTTATAGGTTTTGAGTCTACCGTTAGAAGAAGAGGGGAGTGATCTGAAGATAGGTCTTATGGGTCTTAGTCTAGCTTAGAAGATTAAGATATACAAACTATTTACTATTAATAGAAAAATAATCTTACTACAATGTTGACGGCTTTCATCACTTTCATCTAGGCAGTCATTTTCTTTATCACATTTCCAATGTAATGGGATGCAACGACCATTATCACACCTGAATTCTTTTTCAGTACAGTTTCTCAAGGCTGCAAAGTAGAGTATAATAGTCATTATAAAAATTATTACGAACATACATATCATTAAACATAATAATTTTTGTATATAGGTGACAGATTAGGAAAAACTTCTACTATGTATTGGAATTCCTATATTTTACCATAATAATAAAATAGTGGATTGTGAATGATAAAAATATCTAAATATTCACAGTATTTCTCACTTCTTCTTCGGTGCATACTATTTATTTTCAAGTTAATTCATTATTAGCCATATTTACACCAATTTTTAAATTTTTTTTGTCACTTAATGACTACTCATCACAATGACGACGTTTCGGCTCGTCGAGCCATTTTCAAGTCTAAAATACCCATCATGTACCTGTCCTTTTCATTTATGCGAATTGCAAGCGTCTACTCATAATAAAATTCCTTATTATCGTCATGTTCACCTTGTTTCTGAGTCACCCACATGTCATCCATCTCATTTCTATTAAGTGACAAATTTTTTTTAAAAATTGGTGTAAATATGGCTAATAATAAATTAACTTGAAAATATCTAAATAGTTTTTAAAAATTTAAAGGAATCTGATTTAATTGAAAAAGTAAAATCTTAATGAGTTAATTTCTTCATTTTTGTTTAGCGGCACAGAACTTCTTTGTTCATCAACACCATTTATTCATTTCATTTTTATATTTAACTTTTATTATTATTATTAATTGTATATTAATTTCATTACATTTATGAAAATGAAAATGAAATGAAAAAAATAATTGTATTTTGGGACAACAGTCCCCTAAGAATAAAAATAGTGTTTCAAATTTATGGGTCTTAGTCTAGCTTAGAAGATTACGAAATACAAACTAATTAACTGTTGACTGTTATTGCAATTGTGCAGTTGATTGAATTAAACAGCATACAGACGCAAGTAATTTTACATATTTGCGGAAGTTTGAATGTGTGAAGTAGGTGGTGGAGAAACTAATACAGCAGTTGTTTGAAGGAATTTGTGGACAAGGATTGACGTATTGATATAGGAAGAGAGTTCCAAAAGGAGGTAACACGAATGACGAAGAATTTCTTGAAGTATTTTATGGGAAGGGACATATAAATCTATAAGTTGAGACCTGGTATTAAGAGTAAGGAGTTCCAGGATGTAGGGAGGGTTTTTGGTTCTGAGAACTTGGAAAAGGAAAACATCAAGGAGGAATTGTCGTCGAGAAATAAGATAAAGCCACTTTAACTCGGTGTACCAGAATGAAACATGTGAACGCCTGGAGATCCCGAAGATGTATCTTATAAAATAGTTCATGAGTTTCTTCAGTCTCATTTCTAGCCTGGCAGATAGCCCTCCATACACCAAGCAGCCGTAGTCGAAATATTTACAAGGCACTGTCTGGTTTTAGAGGAATACAATCACGGAATCTTTGGAGTTGTTTAAGGACAGTTATGGATTTTCGGGTAATCTGAGAGATATGGTTATTCCAGGAGAGGTTCTGGTCAAAGGTTACTCCAAGGTTTTTAACTGTTGGGAAAACAAGGGACGGTTATTGAGGTAAGATAGAGGAAAGTAAGGAAGGGAACTAATGAGATTTCTGGAACCGATGAGAATAGCCTTAGTTTTATCTGCATTCAGCTGTAACTCGTTTATTTTTGTCCATCTATTGATGCAGTCAATATCCTCTTTTAGCTTTCGGGCAGCCTCAGGCATCTCAGAAGGTTGCAATGATTGGTAAGTTTAGAAATCATCGGCATATACATAGGAGGTAACAGGAGTGTTGAATGGCGTCAGGAAGGTCACTAATATAAATAGAGAAAAGTGTCGAGGCAAGTGAGGAACCCCGAGGAACACCTCTTGTTAGTTGAAGGTTTGACGATGGACGTTTGTTTGGAATTACAACTGTCCGAGATCGATTGGATAAGAAGGAGAGTCACCATTTTTCGACGCTGTTTGATATGGGCAGGCTTTGGAGTTTGGAAAGAAGGATCTCATGATTGACGGAATTAAACGCTTTGGAAAAGTAAAAAAGGATTAGGATGGAGATTTTTTTTTTTTGTCTATGGCGAATTGGAGGTCTTGGGTAATCCTTAGCAAGGCAGACTGGGTGGAATAATGGGAACAGAAACCAGATTGTAAAGGATTGAGGAGAAGGTTTTGCTCAAGAAAGCTGTTCAACTGAGAGTGGACTAATCTTTCTAGAGGCTTGGATAGATTAAAAAGATTTATCTACAACCTACTTCCATTTATCTGCAATATATCGAATAAACTCAAATGTTTTTCTCAAGTTTTCACCATATCAATCCATTTCTTTTAAATTAGTCATAGTATAGTTTCCTTCAAGCCGCCCTTAATATTTTATCTAAACTTTCTTATGGTTTTACTCTGGATTAATATTTCCTACACCTCTTATTTAAATGAAAACAATAATAATAAAGGGTTTAAACATGACATTAATTTTACTAATTAATGCTTCGACTTTTCCCTTTCATATGGGATTATGCCCTTTGAGATATTTTAAAAAGTTACAGTAACGTTATTGCAATGTTTCTCAACAAGGTGATGATGTAGTACAATGAATACAACTAGTAGTTGTAGTTGTGGTTCATTCATATAGTCAACAACTATATTTAATAATAATAACAATACTTTATTTATTCTGGGACAAGTCCCTTTAGAATAATACAGCAAGACAGAAATTATGGCTAAGGAGGCTCAGAGATACATAAATAAAAATACAGAGTAATTAAACATTCGTAGTAATAAAATTAAAGATTATAAGTTACTTTCTAATTTTAATCAGTTAATAATAAAAAATAAAAAACATGAAGTAAAAATAATGAAGAACGAACTAATAATTTATATACATATTTACAGTAGTATCTAATTACAATTTTATGGGGGACTGCATGGATGAGAAATGATTGAACAGGCGAGAATTAAAGGTAGGAAGGTTATTGGATTGACGAATGTGGGAAGGGATGGAGTACCATAGGGATGAGGATCAGATAATGAACGATCTGTCGAAAGCAGCGGTTCGGTGGGCCCTTATATAGAAATCAGAAGACCGGGAGCGGGTATTGCGCGAAAGAACAGAGGATTTGAATTGAAGGAGCTCGGAGATGTATGAGGGGCGGTGGGATTGGATGACTTGAAAAAGGAAGGATGCCAGGAAATACTTACGACGGTTGGAAGGATAAAGCCACTTCAACTCTGCATAAAAAAGGGAAACAGAGGCGCCCCATGGGATCCCGAAGATGAATCGTACAAAGCAATTTATCAAACGTTTTAGTTTCGCGAGATCCCCAGAGACGTCCTCATATACCGTACAGCAATAGTTGTTCACTGTGTAATTTATAATAATTTACTGTGCAATATATAATTCAACACACAGGGAACCAACAAGAAACAATATAATGTTACTAATTATAATATATACTATATAAGCATTCATAAGTAATATATGTAATGTACGTATTTATGTACTTGAAAAGGATATAATATTAATCAAATACTGAACATTAATGTATGTTTTTTTTTCAACTCTCAAAGAGAATTTCTGTTAGCCATCCACCTCTGTGCGTGTACATAGTTTTTGAAGTAAGTATGAGTTAATTAAAGAATAATAAATTAATTAATGAAATATTAGGGTATAAATAGTAACTGATTGACTGATTAATGATATTATTAGATGTAGTATAGATTTTCCAAAACAACTACAAGAATACAGGTGTAGATAAAGGTGAAAACAAAAACAGAACAAAAAAAATGAATATTTAACCAATTTGTTATTTCTTTTTCCCATTTGACAAACAAGCAGCGAATTACTGGATTTTGTTCATCAACAAGCCATTAATTTTATGGATCACTGTTCCAAGATAAAACAATGACAAATACAGTAATCAACAAAATATAAACCATAGGCAAAAACTATTTTATATTCTCTTAATTATTTGACTAATTCTGTTCCTTCCCTTAATCTTAATTGTAAAAAAAAAATCTTCCACAAAAGATGCTTCTTAAGTGAAGGTACTTAAATAAAAAAAAAGGTTGGATAGCTTTTTCAGAATTTTAATTAAGGTAATCATTCAATTCAGAAAGTATTTCTACAAAGATTTATAAAATCCATTATGCTACAATTAATCTATAAATTATTATATGCACATTACAATTGTATTAATAAAAAATCTGGTGTGGTGTGCGCATCACACAACTTTCATTTGCCAACTTTTTTTTATAAGCAAAAATAGGTATTTCCAAGCAAAATGAAGTAAAAGTAAAAATTATAGACAGTAAAAAATATTATTTAAAACAATTAATTACTATGTATTCACAGTTGTGGGACCATTTTATTTTACGACTGTATATTTTCATTATAATAAATAACTAAGTGCCCTGAAATATTTTTAGTCTGACAAGAGTGTCACTGATAAAGAAGGCCGCTATATTTATTCATATTTCATTGTAGATATTTTTATTTGTTTTCATTGGTATATATACAGATTTTAATTGCTGTAATCTATACAATTAAATATCAAATAACGCCAACCTTAGCATTTATGAAAACCGCACATGTACATGTATATGATGATAATGTTATCGGAGCCCATATTTTATTAAGCACGTGTAAAAGGTATGGAAACCTTTCCGTCAAGTTGTTGTACGCTGGAGTTTCTACAGTTCTATATTATTATTAGTTGAGCTATGGTGCTCCACCAAACCTTCAAATTCCTCTCGAATCCAATCCTTACAATCCAAAATCCTTCGTAAAATCCTCAATGCTCCTTACTTTGTTACAAATAATATCATCCATAATGACCTTAATGTTCCTTATGTATCAGATTTGGCCCAATCCAGATATCTGTCCTTCAATAATAAACTTCATAACCATCCAAATCCTATTGTTTCTAACCTTGCTTCCTATTCAATTCCTGATAATCCTCCGAGGCGTCTGAAAAGAAGATGGCCACGTGATCTCCTAATATGGACATATTATTACAGTGCTACCAATGGGTAGTTTCTCAATATGTGTTTCATGTCTTTATATCCATGTGCGAATTTACCAGATGTATTTTTTGTATACAGTTGTAAATATCATATAAATAAATAAAAAAAATATTATTATTATTATTTCTTCCTTAGTTTATTACAAAATTCTTTCATGTTTTATATTTAACTATTTTTCATGGCAGATTACGATGTGAAATAATTAATTATTTAAAATTTTTAAAAAAATAAAGCTATTTTAGAGGAAATTTTTTTGAAAATTAGACATTTAAGCCCTATTAAAGAATATCATTGAGAATAAGACCTACATTATATTTAAAACCGCTTTTCGAGAAAATTCTAAAAATGTGTAAAATCGATGATATAAAGTGTCACTTCCGGTTAGCCAATTTTGATGAAAAAGTTGCTGTAACATTCTAGGCATATACAAATCTCAAGTACCCAATTTCAGTTTCGTTCGAGTTTTCGTTTTTGAGCTAGACTGATCACATACACACAGGCCATTTTGCAAGACTATGTTATCTGGAGTCAAGAGGTGTATTTCCGTTGTACAAACGGATTCGAAAATTTTCACAATCGGAATACTTTACTTTACTAAATATTGCTTACATAGGTAAGTGAAAGTAAAAATATATTACAATTAATATAAATTTATTGGTCCGATACAGAGAACGAGTTTTAATGGTGTGATTTAATAATGGGATAGTAAATTAAAAAACAAACAACTCAGTGAGAATCGATTTTTTTTTTTTTTACGTTTTTATTCACGTTTCTTCTCGAGGGAGAGGGAGGACGAAAGTCTTACGTTAAAATAAAATATATTAGATCCCAATGGCCAGATTCCTGACAATTTTTCGTTTAAAAAAATTTGTTACAGTAGCCTTTAGAATATTTTATATTTTTTATTATTTTGCACATAATGATTTTTTTCGAGTTAAAATTAAATTTAAAAAATCTAATCTATTGTGGACTACTATTAATTCAACTTTATTAATAAAAATCTAGATCAGTTTCCTGTGACGGTATAGGAGTTTCTTCCTCATCTTCTAAATACAAGAAACCCAATTTTTTATAATTTATTATAAGAATTGATATATCGATTTTTCCATACATATATAATACAACACATTAAAACGAATTATCTTTAAATTCTCTTTTAAGTTATACAGTTGAATCTCGAGAATTCGAAATCCAAGGGACTAAAAGGAAAATTGAATTATCGAGACTTCGAGTTATCAAGAAGTTTGAATTATCAAGAGTAAAAAAAAAAAAAAAATCGAATTATTCATAGTTTTTATTATATTTTTGAAAATATAAATTGGCTTACATTAAATTTATATATAAATAGTCTAGTGTAAAAAATATTTCTAGGAAAAGTTCGAATTATAAAGAGGGGAAGCGGTCTAGTTCGAATTATAGAACGTTTTCTTCCCCTCTTGTTACGAAAAGGATTTCAAGCTATCAAAATACAGCAATTTTTCGATTTACCAAAGTTAACCACCGATGAGAAATCCGAATTGTCAAAAAATTCGAATTATCAAGAGTCAATTGTATATTCATGCAAATTTCACCTTATATTAATAATAAATTAGTTAACTATTTTTAAAAAAATAATTAAAAGAATTAAGTAGTTTCTTCCTTTCATCCAGAAGATGAGGAAGAAACCCACGAAAATGTGTTTTTACTAAATAAGTAAAATTAATGGTAAAGGTTAGTTCACCTTTACCATATACAAATAAAATACTACCCATTAAATTAAAATTTTCACTTTTATATTATTTATTTTTAGCTAAGTTATTGAAATTCTAATTTCTGGGCTCATGTTCAAGCGGTGGCAGATGATTCATTGTCTATCACTTGTGGGATGACAGGTGAGGTACATTTAAACAACAAAAGTGGATATATGGTGTTTCGGTGGGTTGGGGAAAAAACCCATAAGGTTGAGCATCGATGATGTTGAAATCATCTCACCGTACAAACTACAGGTATATTGTAATTCATGAAACGTCCTTTTCTAGGTTGAAATTAATGACAGATTCGATTTAAAATTTATCTCTATCAAGTACATTAACCATCATGAGATACGAGATCATGATTGTTTTCGCAGTTTATGTATCTGTAAGGCATATGATACATAATATGTATATTATGTAATAGTGTGTATATGATATAATATACTCACTGTGTGGATGATCTAGAATGGAGGCTGTCTGGTGTAGGAAGAGGACGAAGAAGACAAGAAACACGGAACACATTGCTTCTAACTAAGCTTCGATCGCGCCTTACCGGCTCCTTACATACTTTTTCTCCCTCTCCTCTCCCCCACCGAATGCTCTAGTCTTACCCTCATGCATATTACCTTTTATAAATAAATGAATAAATATATATATATATATTTATATATATATATATATATATATATACACACATACATAAATAATATATAATAATAGGTATGGCATATGTTACCAGTTTCTTATAAACTCTATTTGGATTACAAAAGAAGGAAAATTTTATATATATATGTATATGTATGTATAAGAAGGTAGGAAAAATTAAAAATTATTAGTTAAGGCATATAGGAACTTGTTTTTTTGTGCCAATGATGGCTGTTTGTTTTTTCCAGTTCTGTGGAGGGTACCATTGTATGTATAAGAAAAGAAGGAATCGAAACATTATCAAATAAAGAGAGTTAACTCTGAAATGTACGTAGCTTATTAAATTGTAAATTAAATGACCTGATATCCGAAAAGAATAATTATTTCACAATATATATAAATTTAAAAATATTATTGTCCGTGGCGACAATGCAGTCAAGTTGTGTTATTATATTTTGGAACGTTTCGAGACCTGATTGTTCCCGTATCCAGAGCCATAGCAAACATTTTTTTTTTCTATTAATTAAGTATGTTACATTCTGTTATAATTAAAGGCATTATTAATGGGGATAAAAAAGTTCATTCACACCATATACATGCCCTAAATTGATAAAAAAAAAAAAGGTTCATGGACTTTGTATTAAATAGAATTATTTTTACAAATATTTAAATAATATGATGTTACAATAAATTATGGATTTATATTTATATGAATGATTTAGGAACAATAAAAAGCAAATTCTTGATGATGGGATCGAATCTCAAAAAGTTGACTACGTAGCCAAATCATAAAAAGAAAAAATGTTTACACCGGGAGGAAAAAATAACTTTTGCAAACTAAAAAGAAATTGGAATTATCCATAATATAAACAGTTATTTACCAAAATTTCAGAAAGTAATTTTTTAAATACTATAATGACTAACAGTTAGAATACACTTTAGCTATTTAGATATAAAAACTAAATTAAATACAAGTGATCAGAATGCCCACCCCCCCCAAGATCGATGGCGCATAAACCTCTCTCCTTCTCTAAAGATAGTTTATTATTTTATTGCTCTCCTCTTCTTAAAAACTGTACAAGCGAAAGTCGATTTTAAAAAATCGTAGATCGAACACGACACCTGCTGGGTTCTGTTCCTAGTTTTTTCTTATTCCCTGATTTGACAATTCTCATCACGAAAATTCATGACCCGGTCAAAATGCCTCCCCTTCAAAAATTCAAAACCGTGTCGAAATGTGCCCCTCTTAAAAATGTTTTGGCGCAAATTGCACCACGAAACCTCTCTCTTGGTAACCTCTAAGAAATAAAGTCTAAATTTTACTCACTATTGTTGAAGATCACGGAAAAAAATCATCGAATACTAAATTATTGGTGAATAACAACTTAAAATATTCCAATTATTACTGATTGGGCCCGAGTGACCAGTACTTCTCTATAGAGCGGAGAGCTGAATTATGTATGACAGACTACTAAACCGAGAAAATGTTTCTCAAACCCCACAAATATTAAATATACCACTAAAACTCAACCGATGCCTTTTATAAATAATTCAACAAAAATATTATGTAAAGATATTACATAATATATGTAGCGTTATCTATATAATTTATTTTAATGTGAATTTAGAAGTTAAAAAATAAAACATTATAATCCAGGTCGAGCCCTCTTGAAAACCAGCGCTTCCGGGCTGCGATTCCGACGAATCCCCCCCCCCCTCCACAACTATCTCGTCGTTCCTAAAAGTTCCTACATATATTATACTGAGACAGAGAGAGAATCACTTTATTATCATAAAATAAAAATAAGTTATTTATCATTTATAAATATCATTCATATTATTTATCATAAAATAATAAGTTATTTATGATGAAATTGGGAGAATCTTTTTCGAAAAGTATATTTTATCACTATAGTCGAAATATTATAGATACCTTAAGTTAACGCAACAAAAAAAAAAAAAAAAGAAAGAAAACGTAATACAACTTGCAATACTAATTGTATATTTTTGATTGACTCGTCCCAACTGAAATATGTATATCGCTGACCGGCCGAAAAACAATGTTATAATAGAGTTGTATAAAACTGGATTACTGTGCATTTTATTAGATTGTATTTGTTTAATTTTTTTGTTGTTGATTCCTAATAGTTGTCTAGTTTTTAATTCCAAAATACGACTAATTTTTTTATTTTGTATAGTTTTATTGTGCGTCCGACAAAATACTGAGGCTTGCCACAATTTTACCCTTCCTCTACCCAAATCATTCTACTGTGAAAAAAAAAAGTACAAAACATTTATTTCGGTGCCCATAAAAGGGGCGCCAAAATTTAGGTAAATAAATGAATATATAACAATAATCTATGGGACCCTCAGAGAGGAGTCTCATTCATTCTACGGTGATAAAAAATGTACAAAACATTTATTTTGAGGTCCATCAGAGGGGTCCGAAATTTTTTCGGAAATCAACGAATATAAAAAAACTATTTTGGGGAGCAAATGTACTACTGTTCTTGATAAATACAAAATAACGATCTTCAGAGACGTCAGAGAGAGCCTCCAAATGTTTCTACGGGGATAAAGCAGTAAAAAACTCGGAGCTCTTAGGAGAGAGGAAGGTCCCGCAATCATATACGAGATAAAAACAGTTAAAAAACATTTATGTAGGCCACTTCTGTATGTCAATAACTCCAGCTACAATAGTCTTGATAACCGACTCCTTGAGTTCATTAAAGGGTTTCAATGTTATGTACTCAAAGCATCCAATTATTCTTAAAATACACAAATATCTTCACACTCTTGAATATTTACGAAAATCGGTTTGCTTTATATGGGTTCCCAGTCACGTGGATATAGTTGGTAATGAGCTTGCAGATACGGCAGCCAAACAGGCACTCGCGCTCCCGACCGAGGTACTCCTATCCTGACCCCTCCAGCAATGAGTTTTCCTCTCAAAAAGGAAATATTGGATAGTTGGCAAATTATGTGGAACGACCGCCCACCTAGCAAATTAAAAGTTGTTAAAAAATCAGTGAAGCCCTAGACCACATCAAACCGCCTTAATCGTAGAGAGGAGGTCGCCGTGACCAGGTTGAGAATAGGACACACGAACCTAACTCATATACATCTCATCACTAAGCAGCCACCACCAATTTTTTAACACTGCAATATCCCATTCTCAATCAATCATATTTTCCAAGAATGCACTTATTATACTTCAAGCCTAAATCGATTATCTCAAAAACCGGATATATCAGCAGTATTAAACAACAACGAATCAAACATAAAAACAGTGATACAATTTCTTAAAATCCATAGACTATTAAATAAAATATAAAAATAAATATAATTTTTATTTTATTGTTCTTTCTTTTTTATTTATATTTATTTTAATATATTTCATTTTTTATGTTTTTAAATATCTTTTTCATTTATTATTCTATCTATCTATAATTAATTTTTGACAGTTCATTCTTTTTTTTCTATTTCTCTGCTAAAGAGTTTACAAATATAACCGACTCACAGGCGTTGATGACCTTAGGGTTTTACGCCTTAAAGCCTAAATAAACAAACATTTATGTCGGACCCATCAAAATTTGCGGAAATAAACTAATGCAAAGCAATTATTTTTAGGGCCAATCATACAAAAGTACTCGGTAAATGTTAAATAACGATCTCCAAGGAATCAATGGAGGGCCCGCAATCATTCTAAGCCGATAAAAAAGTTCGAAACATTTGTGTCGGGGTCCCATCGGAGGGACTTCCGAAATTTGCGGAAATAAAAAAATATATAATAATTATTTTCAGGATACTACAAAATTTAAAACAATGATTTTGGATCCTCCTTGGCAATCAACAACTATACGACTTAGGCCTTTATATGAGTATTGAAATGTGACATATTTTCTGTTATTCCGTTATTTTTATATCATAAGTATACGGAGGAGTTATTTTTAATTTGTCAACTGAATACATTTTATTTTACATTAATATTGTAACCGCAACACCAAAGTTTGTAATTGTCTGAAGCCTTTTAAAATCTTAATCCGACCGTGTATTATGTGCATAACTAGCAAATTAACATAGACTGGAAGTAATCGAAATACTTTATTTTTTATAAAGGCGTGGTGTTATGACATGAGATAATGGATTTAAGGGTAATACGCAATCAATATCTTTAAATATGATTTTTTTTTTTTTTTGTTCGTTTCGTTTAACTTCCCTAAGAATTCCCTAGTGCAGGGAGGACGGAAGACTATTTGTGTAGGTTACATGGCATATGACCTTATTTGGCATGTATACATAGCACCATTACTAAAAACATTGTTTCGCTCAAATGCGATTTCGTAAAACACACGCAGTGAGTACAGACGTGACGTGAACAATTTCTGTTTACTTAAGAGCAGCGGGGTTATGGGTTATCCTCAAAGATATCAAAACGCCTTCCTGTCGCCTGCACGGTAGCACTAAGACGTAGTAATTTTTCTTTTTAGATTGATGAGTGGCTCGTGATACTAATCTATTTCGTAGTAAAATCGATCGTTCCATACGTGCTCATCAGTAACTTGGCTAGACGCGAGTTATAATTTTGCGGCTTACGTGACTTGCCATTTAGATCCAAATTCATCCAAATCCAAATTATCCATTCAACAGAGCCAGAATTAGGAAAGGGGGAGGACTCTTCTAGTGGGTTGCAGAATTCAAAAAGCAGAAAAAAAATTATTAACTCCAGTAAACAATTATTTCTACTTTTCATTTATTGTCACCTTAATTCATTAAATAAAATGCGTTACTGTTATGAAATGATAGATAGATAGAAAGATAGAAAAAAAAACTTTATTCTGGGACTAAGTCCCTTCAGAATAACAATAATGTACAAA